GGAGTACGATTCTATTTCAACTTTCGCCTCCACCTTCCCTAGCACAGCATCTTTGTAGCCACTGTTCACTACAGTTGTGAAAGATAACGAAATATTTTTTGATGAATTTGCCTATAAAGTATTAGGTTAGTGTTAGTTTCTTGACGGCTATAAAACGTAAGCCTTGCTCCTAGAATTCGAGATCGTTAAAATAAGAATAAATCAAACAGGATAAGATGATCTCAACATTATTATTTTATGGCTGCAACCACAACAATACGAAAGTATCGGTTACAGAAACGTTTCGAGTATACTTCTGTTCAGTTGACAAGAAGTAATTGATAGGAACTAAAAGTAACGCATTTCTAGGATGGTGTAAACTGTCAAATTATTAGGAGTTGGAAGCGTGCGCAGTGGTGACCAGCCACCTACAACAGAAAACTCACTGAAAAATTGTCTGAAAGAATACAGCCACCCACAACACCAAAGACTGTGTAGATTCTGTTAGTTACTACCTATTAACCAACTGACGTAGATTACAGTCATTCATCAAAAGAATTAACGTCAAGTTTCTCATTCTTGCTTTGTTGCAGAATGAAAATCTTTCGAAAATAAAGTGAATGAATAGTCAGTAGCCTTCTATAATTATCTCATACTCTGTACCTCTTCTACTTGCAAAACATACACTATTGCTACGGTGTATATATTTCTTAACTGTTAGTTTTTATCATATAGATGAGTTAGGAGACATTGACCACTTGATAAGTTCCTATTGAAACAAATGATTATTATAAATCCTCACATTTCTGGTGCCTTCCTAGAATATAAATGTGACTGATCTTGAAATTGAATCCTATATTCCTTCGTAGTTGAGCTGAAATATTCCACTACTGATACTTCATAACCTCGTTTGCTTCAACCAAAATTAGACAGGCAATAATACCGTAAATATTTCGCGCGGTATCAATTATATTTCACTAGGAAGGAAATTAGAACATCAAATTATTGATAATAGAAATATTATCAAAACAAAATTCTCCCACTTATTCATTCATATACCACGAATACTTGCTAAACAGTCATGTTAACAAGGTTAACAGTATCTGATATAAATCTGAAGGAATTCTGCTTATAAATAAGTCAACAACCTAGTACGCAACTAATACGTTGGAGGAAATTGATGTCGACATCATGTAAATTGATGCAACGTTGATGTGACAATACGTTCCATACCCTCGAATGCACCCTTAAATAAAACAGTGATGAGTTTTGTTTCTCAAGTTGACGTGGGGATCAATTGAAAAGGAGATAAAAGCTTGTCAGCAGCCGTGAGGACAGTTGAATATGATGATCGGAGAGTAGCAGGGAATGTAATCACACCTGCATTTCAAATTCCCATAATTTGTCTTCAGAGAAGTGAATACCAACCACAGTGGAACGAAATGAGATAACGATGAGGAAGAACAAGTTGGTGCTTTAATACTTATTTTATTTTGGTGAAACATTTGGATGTTTTTGTTTAAGTGTAGAGAAATGAATAGAGACATCAGTAGACAATGTCACTGACAGCATGATTCCCACGTTGGTTAGGATTCTGAGACTAGTAAAATTTGTTCGCAGATATGCATATGCAGGTTGCCTATTTCCCTTCATTCTTCCAACATGGACGATAATGCAAAATATACAAAAAAATTCGTGGCAACTTCCAATGGATTGTGATAGACAATGAAGTCAAGGCATCAGTATGCTCCTGCAGCAAATAACTGACCAAACGGATACTTCACCTGTAGTATTTCTCACCGGGTATATGCATTTACTAGGGTAGATCAGTTTTTTTTGAGGTTGTAAATATTTTCTAATGAATAGGAGTAATGTGTGTGTTACAAAGAGGCAGGATATTAAGTCAACTGCCTTCACTCACCCAACTCAGTGTTATCTTAAAGTCATCCTGATAAGATGCGATTCATTTCTATTAGTTAATTTTTTCTATACTGAAGAGATGGACAATCGCGTTCAAACTAAAAATAAGATAAAATGATGTTTGTAATTCTGTTAAGGAATTACGATGGAAGTTTTCACTGATGATTCTTGAAAGTTGTTACACTTGGCTATCGTACTATGAATAAATGCAAAGTTATTCATAGACTTGATGAGTGACGAAAGGCATTTGGAACAGTCTCCTGCAGACATTCATCAACACCAGCCTTTGATGGCTCGATATTGAAATTTACATAGGCTGAACGAATAAATAACAAGGAATTCTGAATACACGACAACGAAGAAGTGGTCACCCAACAACTACTGTGAATCCAATGGACTTGAATTGAATGTACGATGCTAGGAACGGTATGCGATATTGTGCATCAGGCCCTAGACTGGAAATCTAATGAAAAACGACTAGTTGTGTTTTCGTTCAAAGTTCACATAGAGGAAATGAAAGGATATCGGTTAATAATACTTCAAAGTCTCAAGCCTGGCAGTGTTTGTGAAGTCAGCATTTATCTTCCTGAATCATATAACACTGAGAAAAAACTTTATGACTATCACTGAGAGGGAATAAACTACTGGGGAAGAATTTTATTCAACCTTCAAGTGGCTGTGGATTTTATCAGAATGTAGGGATCCCTATGGATGTAAAATTGCGTTCAGAGAAGCTACTTCCGAAGAATTTATTTTGTATAGCTGTGAAATATAATTTATAACGTATTTTCAACAAAAGAGGATAGTCACACAATTAATGAAATCTCACGATCACAAACTTTCAGAGGTTTGAATTCATGGGCCACTGGTCCTTGAATTCGTGCCGGAGTGGTCTAGAAGCTCGCCTCATAATTTGGGGGTCCTGTGTTCCAGACCAATGGTTCTGTAATACCAAGGACCACCAAAATAAGACGAAAAATTATGGTAATATTTCATCGGCTTACACACAATGATACTTTTTCTGTTTTGGTAATATTTCTAACAAGATGCCCATGATTTGACCAGCTGCTGGAATTGTTTTGTTTTTATTTCACACATGATGACTTTTAGTTAGGCGTTTATGTTCATTCACTCTGATTTTGAGTGATATTGAAGTTTGACCCATATATTTAGTGGGCTCAGGATATTTTGTAAATCACATTACTTTTATGCAATTTTATTGCACCATTTAGTTAATTTATTTTATTTCTCATTCGATGCGTAGGTTTGAAGGTGGTACGAATCCCAATAATTCTGAGGCTTCCTCAAATTTTCTCGGATGTACCAGATTCGCATAGTAGTGTGACCATCTTTCTTTCTTGTCACCTATTTTCATCTTCTTCAAGTTATATATGACAAATTCTTTTGGGTAATTAGTATAGAGTGACATTGTGAATGAGGAAATTTTTACTTTTCTTTGGCCATCTACTGTTATTGTATGTCTCTGTATTGTCAGCAAGATGTGGCACTAGTTCACCTTTTTCTCCGAATGGATGAGCTGAGTGATAATCAAGGAGTCTCTCAGAATATATAGCGCCTATATAGCGTCGTTTCCATTCCGCGATATGTTACTCTTTGTACATTGCAGTCCCACATAGGCTGTTCCCCAATTTCAACTGTTAATGTGTGAGAAGAATTTCTCAATGTCATCATTTTTCATTATTCCTTAATTCTCATCTTTATATCTCCACCAACATTTTATTGATGACCTGAATAGATTAAGTGCACTCTCTTCCCGAAATTCCATCAGCAAGTCAACTGCTATTGGTGAGATGGGCGATCCCATGACTACTCCTTCATTTGTTAACATATTTCAAAAGTAAAATATGTTGTTCCTACACAGAATTCACTGACTTCCATCATCTATCTTACTGATAATTGTGTTCCGCTTTTAGGTCATTATCTTCGTTTAGTCTCGTTTTCAGTGCATCCATGGCCATATGAACGGGTATTTTGGTGTAGACCGTGTGTGATCAGATTGTTTGAAATGTGTTGCGCAAATACATTACACGATTCAGACAAATTACGTCTTCTTATTGCTTTATCTAAATTCATAAAGGGAACTAATTGTTTTAAATAGATAATGTGCTAATTCCTTTCTTAGCTATTCTATGTTATTCTTTCATGTGTGTTCGACTTGATGCTACTTAGCATTAGTAAGTAGCACGGATAGACTTTACGTCTTATAAATGACGTCTTTGCTTATGAGGTTTAACTCAATGAATATGTTTACGCTCTATTTGATGTATTATGATTATTTTCTTATAGTCGAACAATAAATGCTGTATTTGTTTTATTCGAGTACCCTTTACTGCGTATCCCTTTATTGTGAGTCTGGCGTTTGTGATCTGTTTAGATAACATGTGGATCAGCTTTCACACAACTCTGCTGGCTTCACTAATCGACACACACTGACTGTGCTTTTTGACAGCATCCATCCATAGACAACCCACAATTGAGGCATGTATATCATATTTTATGTTTAATATAGTGCCAAGTTTTAGAAAAATCCTGTGTTTTCGGATTTCACGCGTCACTCTACGTGTGGTTTTATTATTCGTTCGATTATCGTCCCGAATTTCTTTTGGAAGAAGTTCACAACTCCATTTAGCTCTCTTCTCCAGTGAGATATGCATAGTGATGCTTGAATAAACGTCAGATGATAATGAATTTGACAAGGAGAGCAGGTAAAACACAAAACAATTTCAACTGAGACGCTCGATTAATGAATCAGAGATGCACGCTTGCCAATAAACGTCACTGACTCGTATTCCCCATGGCGAATAATATCATTAAGACAAACAAATTAATGTTTGAAATTATATTATATTGAACAGAATCATATGAGAGTAAACTACGAAAAAGCATTTGATTATTCACTGAATAATGTAAACATGCAATGACAATGAAATTTTGTAATGAGTTCAAAACAGAAAGTCATGAGGTAGCACGAAGTTAGGTCAACAACTGTCACTCAGAAAGAGAGTACAAATTTAATGTTGCAGATAATTTAAAATATGTCAGTTTGAATTAATTATCAGTTCAGCTGGCAAAATAGTTGTACTTCCAGAGGACTTCTTCTCAGCAATCTGAAAAACACAAAATTCCCTTTTATTTCACTTTTATCTTTTAATTTAAAAATGTATTTATTTTATAGAATTTCAAGTTTGCCTAATATGATGTTTCAGATGGAAGGAGTAAATAAAATACAAGTCAGTTGGATAAATGTCTTGTATTATCACTATTAAGAGTGAGAAATGTTAAAGTATTGTAATGACCGCATGACATCTTATTATAATATTATGTATTAAAAACCCAGTTTGTGAACAGTGTAGCTAAAATTAATAAATTTGTAATCAACCTACCATATAAGATTCGTCAACCATCGTGGCAGGTTATTTCTGGAAATGAAGAAAACGATTGTTGTTTTTACAGTTCGATTCTTTACAAGAAAGTTTTACAACTCTCGAACAGATACAAAACTACTTGGTTAAGATATTCCGAGCACTGTATAAGAAAATAACAATAATTCGCCCATATAATTTCTCGGTTTTCCGTTTGTTACTTTTTTTTTACAACGGAATGATACTAATGGTATACCGCACTAACTCTCAGTCATTTTATGTGCACATGTATTTGTATATATAGTTTCACTTCAGAGAAAGACTTTGAGAAAATCAGTTTGATTCCTTTTAAAGCGGTGGTTTCTGGAAAGGGAAATAACCAAGGTGTTTCTCGTATGCAGACCGTTTTGAAGGTTTGACAATTTGGTTGCTTCGGTTTGCAAAAACTAGTTTTATTAAACCATTTCAGTGTATTCACTGCATTCAGGATCAGTGTGGTTGACCTTCCACTATCCTGGTGAATAGATACCTTTTTTCGCTTCCCTGTTTATTTCTACGTCACAACTGTTACTTGATTTCATTGAAATCTCAGCTGAATACATTACTAGTTGTTTTTATTTTTTCGATTACAGCTTGATTTCACACCGTATTTCTGGTACAAGTATGGAATTATCAGCATGTGATATAGGTTTCCCAAATTTTGCAGGCCGATCATTGACATCAGGTGTGCGTCGGCAGTAAATCGAACCCCGGACCATGTGCATGGTCGGCGAGAGTCCTAAAAGTTGTGCCACCGACGCCAATTTCCTTTTGATTTTTTAGGTAGTAGTTTTATTTTGAATTGCCAGATCTTCTCACTCTCACTTTCTACTCCCGATCTTTTTTTATCGAATTTTCTGCTAATAAATTCCGGTTATCAGATCGTTAAGTGTTTCGTATTCATATCTTGTGTTCTGTTTCTATCCTTTTGAGCAGAAATAATCTTTGAGTAGTGCAAGATGCTTGCATTCATAGTAATGTTTGTCTTCTTTAGGTGACTAGGAGTTGAAGAAGAACATGAATTAACAAATTTTCTCTATCGTGCAAATATGCTTAATCATGTTTTGTACCAATTCGATCAACCAGTACATACATTATTTATAATAAGTGGCATTCAGAATTTGCGTTCATGATTTTTTATTCATGTTGATCTCTCTAGACTTATAAACTGTAGTGTATTTTATTGTTTAAATGAATTTATTGTCTTCAACCAAGCGGTCTGGAGTTTTCTTATCTACTGCTGTACGTATAACTATGAGCTTCAGATCAGAGCACACTGGTATTATTCTTCTGATTCTGTAGAGAACTTTGCTGATTTCAACGAATTAGTGTCACATTTATTACTTCGTATAACCTTAATTGACCATGTGTGTTTACACTTCCTCAACAGTGGCCTTATGAGTTTGACTGGTTACTAATTGTCTTTTAGTTAAGTATTTCTGGTTTCATACCAATCACTGTGTAGTTGAGTTCCTTTATTTTATTTTGCTTGAGCTTACTTCTATCGTTGCTATTCAAGTCATTCGCTTTGTTCCACCAAATATTGATGAGGAATTGTTTCAACTCACATTACGATTTACAAATTATTATGGAATTACATCCTGTCACGATGTGAGCGTTTTATATAAGTATGAATAACTATGATGTACGTGTCCCATTGAATAGATGAAAAAGATAAAACGTTCTTCTGAATGGAGCTTACTTTGTCCACCGGGAAGGTGAATAGTACCTAACATTGGACAAATTTTGAATCATTACAAGAAATGTTTTGCAAAATAACTTAAGATCATTCAATGATCTATGTTATAAAATGACAGATTAAGTTGTAAAAATGTGTTTGCGCTCTACACTTTAAAGTTTCTGGCCATAGATTTGCTTATTTATTCAATTTATGGGGAAATAAAACGCAGTGATGTTTTAAATACACAAAACAAAGGGATTAACAAAGGTAATGGAAGCACTATGAATTAATCCAATGCACCCATCAATATGCTTTGTGAAAATAGTGAAATTCAACCTTTGTTTACCCTAACCTAATTGATCTACTGAAATACAGCTCTAGCTGTTCCTTAAAATAGGCCTGCATTATTAGTGAACGAAAATATTATCATGAGGCTTAGCATACTTCAGTGATCCTTTGTTTGGTATATTAATATAATTTTGTCACTTACTATCCTCTTAAATTTCGTATAGCTTATTATTTTGTTTATTTTATTTGATACCTCACTCTACCATTTCCATTTTAATTATGTCTACAAATAAATGTGTGATCAAATGTTAATAACTAGTATTGTACAATTTATTTCATTTCTCCAATAAAGGCCTTTATTAAATAATACCACTCAAATCTACTGAAGTTTCTAATTGGTTTCGGACTTAGTACTAGTGAAAAAATACTGTCAGGCGAACATCCCACTGTATACGACAAACTTATGTGCATAATCCACATCTGTTTCAATCTTCCTCTTATACTCTTCCACAGGGAAAAGATGTAGGGTCACTTTATTGGAGTAATGAGTGACGGCTTGACGATGTTAAACAATTTCGACATGCATATTTTGGGGATTGATAGATCTTTTATCTTATTCATGTTAGTCTTCATAGACGAGGCTTCGAATTTTTCCTGTCCTACTTCAAAATGTCAACTCTGGTAGTTTCCGTCTAATGAAAGATATACAGAGAAAACACAGAAGCGACGAGATCAATTACGCATACGCTCAAAGCAGATATCGGCCATAAACTCATCCTGATACTTGTATGGATTGGTAAAAACAGTACGACGCATAAAAATAAGGTTTATTGTCTTTGGACCTTGTTTTTTTATAAACTTACATGCTTTATTCACGAAGTGAGCGTCATGAACAAATAGACATAATAACGGCAAATAACATTCTTTAGTTTCAAAGGCTGTTAACTTGTACTAAATGAACGCTAACATATGAAGGTTTACCACCTTTCGACTGATTTATTCACAGGGTAATTTCTGACTGGTTCTATGCTTCGATACATTCATCCAAATATGTCAACAGGCTTTGCATTATGTATTTTAGTAGCTACATAAACAGAACCTATCAAAGAGGGTGGATGGAACTCAATTAACGATTCTTCAAGATCTCAGCTGCAGTATCACCTTTAAATTCAACACAATCGCTTACGCAGATCACTGAGGAAAGCCTTCTTTATGGCTGAGCTACGTATCCATTTCTACAGCCGACAAATGATCAACGGATGTGTGAAGGATAAACTGCCGCTTTGGGCCACCTCAATGTTTCTTTTTAAATTCACCTGCTCGCGTGGAGCAAGTTATATTGGCCGCACAAAGCTCACGCTTTTCAAACGCATCTCTGAATATTATCCGGCATGGTTAGTAAGGGGACAATACAAGACAATTACTAGCTCAACTCTCGAGCATTTGGTGAACTCAGGCCACGTAGCTCCACCAGAGTCGTCTTTCAACATCATCTACAAAGTGAAGCCAAATTGTACAAAGGGCGTCAGGTTCCGGCTTTTGTGCATGGCGGAGGCGCTGGCAATACATCAATACAACCCCAAACTTTGTGTATGCAGAGAAAGTTTGTCCAGTCTCTTATTCTACCTTGGTCTTAACCTCTTCACTTATCGTTCCCTGTAAAATATTTTTGATTTTTTCTTTTGTTCCTAATCTTTAATTTTACTCTTAGTTTGCTTTTGCTTTAATAATTAATTCACTATTATCAATTTCATATATTTTCACACCTTCTTCACACTTGTTAAATTGACACTCTAATAACTTTATTCTCACTCAAGAGCAATTTTACCTTTTCTAACTTCTATCTTTGTTCCGTCGGGTACCACGTAATTTACAACTTTTAATTTTCACCTCTAAAGCCACTTATGTCAACCCCCTGTTACTCAATAATAGACCACTATACATTTTTCTAAGTATAAATACGACTGTACAGCCTCTGTAGATGATTTCGTCGATAAAGAAAATTTTCTTCGCTAAATCTGTCTTTTATTTTCTTCAAAACTGAAAGTAGTGACTGTCATCTTTTTATATTCCGAGCAGCTTCCGTCGATGTGAGATATTTTATATCCCTTTTGAGAAGAAGCTGAAAATGTTACCTACTGATGATAATACTTTAATTATCGAGCGATTTTGGGGCGAAAAATGTTCACAAGTCAGTTGATTATCATCTGTTTTGTTGCCGTAATTTCAAATGAAATATTTCCTGAGGTTAACTGTCAAATATTGTTAAATAAAGATAACTATAATAATACAGTTATTTGCATACTGTGTAAAATTTACGTAGTGCATTACCTTATTTCCGTTTAACAATCCCCGTACAATACAACCACTTAGGCATTACATATGTGGTTAAAAGTTCGAATTTGCAATCAAATATGTGATTCTTTACTTCTGAAGGCTCGGCCATAACTTCAGATGCAAAGCACCACCTTAATGTTAATATGGACAAAGCAAAAGTGGCTGGATATTTATAACCTTTTGAGTCATCTGACAGTGAAATTGACCCATAACAAAGAGCATTACTATCTAAAGTTTAATCATGATTATTATTATTCCTATTTACTACCTGATCACTGATGAATCGATTACACAAAAGGACTGAATAGTGAATATCTTGTGTGATCAAACTCACTTGGTGTTGTGGGAGCCTTTGTGGCGGCTGAATTTCAAATAAAATATTTTCTGTCAGATGTCATTTATTGAAGAAAACTATCATAATAAAATTATTTGCATATCATGTAGAATATGCTCAGTATACATCTTTATCATTTTGTGACAGAACATAAATTTCCAATAAGGATTCGTCACTGATTACATATGTTCCGCTATGAACGAAAGAATTCAGATAATAATGACGGTGACAGCCTCTCATAAAGGTCATTTTGTGTTCAGGCTCAGATATTTATCATACCTTCTCCGATATTCATAAAAATTATTAAGTATTTTTTATCTACTCCAAGACATGATTTCTCATATTTCATGTTCAAAGGGACTGTTTATTATTTATAGGCAGATAAGGCGGTTGTTGATTTACTGAAATATGCTTCTCCATTTCTGAGACACTTCGATACATATACAGAACTTGATTCAAACTTTTTCTGCTGCACTGTGTCTAGTAATAATTTCCTCCAGGCATGTCATACTTATCAGCGATACTTGACACTGTTTGTTTCGCTTACTCTGATATTTAATGCAATACTCTACATCTCGACTTCTTGTGTAACGCAATCTGAGTTAATCTACTGAGTAATCTTTCAGCGCTAACTTTGGTATGTCTACAAGTATCATCTCGACAGCAGACTTCTGTGTCAGTCCCGTGGTATAGTGTTTCTTTGACTTTTTTATTATTACATCTACTATATTGCTGCAAAAACGCGTTCGTAGTTGACGGTGGATTATTTTTAATATATGTCAGTGTTGTACTTCTCTGAATAACATACGCGTGTAGGTAACACTTCGAAGTGTTAGGAAAACAATGAAATACTTTACTCACCGATTTCCTCAAGTTTCTTCTTTACTATTTTTTGATGAGAGAGTTTTAATTTATGAAAATTATGAAAGGAGAAGTCACAATCAACGATTCATTTTATTTTTAACAAAGATGTAGTAGCTGCAATTGAACATTCAGAAAACCTGAGTGTATTTCTGTCGGAGAAGCGCACATTTGTAGAAAGTTTGGAAAGAGATAAATACAGCGCCTGAGAAGTTGAGGATGTAAAAAAAGTTGTTGGTGAATGGAAAGCATTTTTTGACATAGGTGGACGACGAATTGTTGCGACGATCTCCCATCATTGAACTAGTAGTATTCGAACTCCTAACCAGTTGACAGTAAGCTACACACCTCTTCAAAGTAAGGGCACTTAACTTGCACGTTACGTGACTGTATGAATGATCTGCCGGTAATCTGATCAAGAAGAAAAATATCACACAAAGTGGACAAACAAGAAGTAATGCACATTTTGCAAAATGACTTCAATATAAGTGTAGTAATCGTAGCTTCAGTTAAGCAAACTAATGAATCCCTCTTAAATTCACTTGAATGTACAATGTTATATGAAGCGTTTCAGGAACGTAGTTGAAGAGAACATTGTAAAGCCCAATAATACACACTATTTTAAACTCAGGCCAATCCCAGTCAACAGAATTAAAATTGACTTACTTTTTTCCGCTACATTGATGTAGTGCAACGTTGAAACCAGTAAACAAAGGTAATTACACGTATATTGAAATCAATGTTGAACATGTTTCATTTCCTCAATACCGGAATAACTAAGTGATGTCAGTTGACTGTTTATTTCCATCATCGTTAAATTTTTATGAAAACTACTGATATCATGAATAATATTGACAGATAAATGAAATTAATTGTTACTGATATAGCATTCAATTAACTTGCATACCTAGTTGAGCTGAGAAATTCAGTATTTCAGAAAAGGTTTTGAGTGGAGTGGGGATAGTTAACTCACAAGAAAGTGTAACGGAGAAAACAATTTCAGTTGCTTAGGCGGATGGCAGCAGCATTCATTGACCATGGAATGAAATACACCATGTTCAGAACACAATCTGTGCTATACCAAATGCAAGCTGAATCAGATAAAAACTTTTCTGTTGACCAGAAAGGTTGTTAAAGCTACATCATGTTTCACCATAAACACTATTATCAATAAATGTTCTTACTAAAATTTCTTAGTGTCATATATAAACGGTTCATGTAGACGCTGAAAAATACTGATGCATAATTTCATCTTCACGAAGTTGTTCAGTATGTATATTCTTTGCATGATTAAATATATACAATGGCAGCAACAAAAATATAAACATACATGCGTAATCTATACGAAGCCGAAATATAGAATTTGACAAAATAAACGCAAAATGAAGAACGAAAACAACTAAAGCCAAAAAAGCAGCTAGAAATACGAAAAGCACTCAGAAAAATGACATGCGACTGCGTTGTGGAATATAATGTGCGCTCATATGGCACGACAGGTTTCCTGTAAGAGAATAAGCATAAGTTAATAATGTGCGGCTTTCCAGCCATTTCTTAAAGTTGTTTCAGTCTGGTCATAGAAGTGAAGCTGATGGATTCGAAAACCGGTGAGTTATTGATAGTCTGTCTGGATTCAACATAGAACTTGGCACCGAAGTGCACCAGTTCGAGTTGCCACGTTCCAAATAGCACACAGAGGTAGACAAGAAGATGAGTGAAGAGAATCAATAGAGTTCGACAAGTATAAGAGTGAAACAGAATGGGTAACGGTAGAAAGGAATATGAAAGATTACAGAGACTGAATACATCTGCGCTGGCCATTGAGAACGATTTTGAGCCATGTCACCTATTGTCTCCAGCCATTGATTCCTAGAGTCCCGAGGCGAGGGCCCCAACCCGGAAGTCTGCATCTCCCTACCTGACTCAGTTTAACTGTCAAGGATTTCATGGATTGATGCCATGTTTTAGTTTGGCCACCCTTGGCTCTTTTCCATCCTGCACCTATATCAGCTAGTAATGTCCGTCGGGGGAGGCGATGGTTAGGCATGCGCAGCACGTGACCTAGCCATCTCAGTCTATGTAACTTTATAGCCTCGTCGATTGATTTTCCCTGTTTGCCCATTACTCTACGCCTAACGTCAACATTACTTATCTTATTAAACCACCTCACGTGAGACAGAGATCGCAGACATCTATGATCGAAAGCAGTCTACCTTTTCATGTCTTAAACTCGTATTGGCCATGTTTCAGAGCCATAGAGAAGGACGGAGTGAACTGTTGAACAGTACACACGTCCCTTGGTTGATAACCGGATGTCACGCCTACGCCAGAGGTGGTGTAAGTCAGCGAAAGCAGCTCGAGCTTTTCGGATCCGTGCTGAGATTTCATCGCCAATCAGTCCGTTGGTGCTAATACAACTTCCCAAATAGGTGAAGTGGTCAACATGTTCTATCACTTCACTCCCTATCACTAAGCTAGGAGTTGACGTAGTCCAGTCCTGTAGCAGCATCTTACATTTTGGAGGGGCGAATCGCATGCCAAACATACGAAGATTGCTGCTCAAGGTGTTCAGAAGACTCTGCTGGATTTTGTCAGCATCCTCCCCTAACAGGACTATGTCATCTGCATATTCTAAGTCTATAAGACTATTCCCTGGTAACAAGTCGATTCCTAAGTCATTACGTTCAGTTAAGGATACTTCCATCAGCATATCTATGATGAAGTTAAACAGAAATGGGGAAAGTGGACATCCCTGTCGGACACCACTGGTTGTTACCAATTCAGATGACAATTCCTCATAAGCCCTCACACGACTACGTGAGTTTGAATAGAGTGCCTTGATTAGTGCAATGTACTTTCTTGGCACTCCCTTCACGGTAAGACATTGCCATAGTACCTTTCGATCCACGGAGTCGAAGGCCGCCTTCAAGTCAAGAAAGTGGATAGTGGATAATTTGCATGTATGAGGAAGCAAATATTTGATGGTCTGATGCTTTCAGGGATCTAAAATTGGTGTTTCTGTGTGGCAAAATGTAATTGTCCAATTACTTTCATCATAAACGACATATTAAAACGTATACTATGACAGTACTTATTGTGAACGAAATATATTAGGTTTACAAAATTATGGAACAACAACACACTATGTTCGAAACAAAATTCCTGGTTTTCCAAATGTAAGCTGAACCAGAAAGGAGGGTTTTGTGGGAACCTGGGGTACTGTATGATTTATAATCAGTTTTGTCATAAATATCTTCGTGACTTACTGTTGTTGATAAATTCTCCATGTGATACATAATCGATCTACACATGTTTGTCGCTGATAGAAGTGAAAGGAGACAACATGCCGATCAATTCGACGGGCACTTGAATCTAGCATACCCTTCAACTCCTTCAGAAATACCACCACACCATTATTCCAACAGAAGTAGAAATCTTGAATATAATCAAGCTACTGAAACCCAGGTGAAAAGGCGAAAAGGACAAGGCTAAACTCCTACTGCAGCAGTGGAAAATGGACCACAGACCGATGCAGGTATACTGACTCCAAGTTTTATACTAAGGCGCCTCCTCTTGCAGACAATAAAAGACGAACTTGATGCAGAACACCAACCAGAACAAGCTGGATTTAGGAAAGGCATATCAAGTGCCGATCAAATTTCATCTCTAATAATCGTCATTAAACAAAGCATATAGTCAAACCTCTATCTCAGCTACATCTACTTTGCGCTTTTCGATTGGTGCGCCGCATTCGCTTGATTACACAAGACTCTCATTTCTCTGATATTTCTGACCAGGAAATTATGGAATTTTTTATAATTCGTATTCTTCTGAACATTAAATATGTTGATGCAGTCCTGTTGACCATATATACTTGTAAGTAACTGTTCGGCATTTTGTGACTTTTTGACATTAAATAATATCAATAATCATATATATTATTTGTTTCACATGCCAAAGTCATTGGGTCTATACTTTGTATATTAAATTCTGCAATTGAACTAGAGAGTGATATTTTTGAAACGATTTTTTATTTCCACTTTCTCTGTTGAGATTTCTTTCCGATTGCCTCAGTCCTTAGTTCCCTGATTTTAAGGGGAGCATCATAAAAAGTCGCTGCTCTGTAACCTATAGCTTTATGCACAACCCCCTCTTTAGATGTTTCGGAAAGCTTAGTACTATGAGTGTCTTTGTTACAAAAGGTAAGATCTGTGTGCGGACATTGAACGTTCACACCAAGTATGATATTGACAATGCTGCCCAAATTGAAAATGAGATGTAAAGGTATCATATTCAGGTACTGGTAATATATGAAAGCAGGTGGAATAGGAGTGGATTGAAAAAATTGTCAACGAGAGAGTCTATGATCTACTCCGATCACTCAGAAGACTACCACGAGCACACATACGCAGTGAGTGGCTACCATGATGTCACCAACGGCAACGAAGTCCCTGATACAATGGGAGGTAGTCAAGCTCAGGACAGTGGCCTCCAGATTCAACTCAAAAATAAGGAAAGTGTCAGTTATACAATGATATACACCTACGAACAACGCGGACCTCGAAAAGAAAGAAGAGTTCTACATGTAACTACAGGCAACAATGGACAGTATTGTAGTTGGCGACGTTGAAATACCGATAGGAGACATGAATGCCAAACAAAGACCCGACAACACAGGAAGAGATCTCACCATAGGTAGCGAAACTCTCGAAGAGATGAATGAAAATACGGAACTCTTTGCCAACTTCTGCGCATTCAATGGAGTAGTGGTTGGCGGCAGTGTATACAAATAAAAGGATATCCACAAGACTGCATGTTTGTCACCGGACAGGAAAACCAAAAATCAAACTGACTTCACCTCAATGCAGCTCAACGAAGTGAAGAAGCAGCTTACTAGACACAAAAGCAAGAAGAGGAGCAGACGTTGGTTCAGACTACCATCTCGTACAAGGAACACTTCAAATGAAATTGAGATATTGCAAAGAAACAGAAGCCGTAGATAAACCACAGGCAAAGTTCAGAGCTGAAAAACTGGAGGACCAGGATACAGAGGATATCTTCGCTGCAATCCTGGGGAAAAAGGGGGAGACACAAGTCAACACTGGAGAAGAGCTTAGCGTTGAATAGCACTGTAACAGCCTGAAGGCAGTTTGGAGTCAAACCTGCATGTACATTCTAGTCAGAAAGGAGAGACAGGACAAACACTGGCTCACTACAGATATATAGGGAGAAGGATGGTGAAACGAAAGATTGTCAAGTGCGTCGACGAGCAACAAAAACAGGATTCGAATGCAAGCTAAAATACAATAAACAAAAAAAGTAAGGAAGAGTGCCAGAGAAGAGAAAAGACACTATTATGAAACTATGGCAAGTGAAGCAGAACAAACTGAAGCAAAGGAGATCTCTCAGCACTCTACCAAAAAGCGGGGAGAAGTTAAACATAAATGAAGTCAGTGAGGGTTGACAATGGAAAGTCAATCACCAAAGAAGTGGTGAAAAATGAACATTGGATTGAACACTTCAGAAGATTTCTATATCGACCGCCACCTACAGCGCTCCTAATAATATCAACAGTGGAAGCAGAACCACCAGTGAACATCAACCCTCCTACGAGAACAGAAATCCAAAAAGCAATCAAGATTCTAAAGAAAGTAAAAGCTGCAGGCTCGGACAGATTCCCAGCGGAAGCATTGAAAATATACCAAGAGATATCAGCAGACTTGATGACACCATTACTGGAGGAGGTGTGATAAGAAGACAAGGTGCCTGCCGATTGGAAGAAAAGCTACCTATTCAAACTGTCAAAGAGAGGAGGGTTAGGTCAATGCTAGAACTGGAGTGGAATTATACTCCTGTCCATCCAAAGCAAAATACTAAGCCGCATCAGCCTGGAGAGAATCAATTACGCCCTGGATGGAAAACGTCAAAGGGAACAGGCCGGTTACAGGAGCAACAAGTCATGCTTTGATCAAAATAGCAATGCCACGGATCATCATTCAACGGAGCTTGGAATGGCACTCAACTCTCTATCTCAACTGTATTCATTTTAAAAAGGTCTTCGACAGCGTGGATCGAGAGGTAATTTATATTTTATATATTTTTTCATTACATCTTGATTCCACACTGTATTTTGGTACAAGTACGGAATTTTCAGCACGGATGCCGGTAGCCTAAATTTTGTAGGCCGACCATAGATATCAGGTGTGCGTCGGAAGGGGATCGAACCTCAGACCATGTGCATGGTCGGCGAGAGTTTATCGGCAGCATCTCATCAAACAGTTGTACGATGATGCTGCAAACCAAGTAATACACAATGGAGAACTCATGGAATCCTTCGAACTGAGGAGGAAGTAAGACAAGCAGGCTGCCTACTATCTCCAGTGATTTTACCGATTGCGGTAGACTGGATAGTGCAACAGATATCAGGCAGCGTGGAGACAGACATAAAATGAATCCACACAAAAACTTGAAGAATCAGGATTTCACTGATTGTATATGTCTGATTTCCCACAAATTGGAAGATGTGCAAGTGAAATGCAACAAGTTGGCTGGAGAAGCAACCAGAGAAAATAGGAAGGACTTCAGGTTAACATAGAGGAGATGTGGATTCCTGACAAACAGTGACAGCAATAACAATAACAGACAACAATCAGCGTAAATGAGAGAGATATGAAAAAAGCAACCTCCTTCACCTACCTGAAAACCATCGTTTCAACTACAGGCAGAACTGACGAAGGTTTCGAAACAGCGAGGATCGAGAAAGCAAGAAAAGCCTTCATTTTTCTCAAGACTCTGTGTAGGTCAGCAGTACGCAGCATGGAAGACAAGATAAGGATTTTAAACCCCAATGTAGAGTCAGTGCTAATATACTGACCAGAGACTTGACGCGTTAAGAAAGGGCACTTTGGACTAGCTACAGACCTTCATCAACAGCTGCCTTTGCTCAATAAAACTCAAGATCAGATGGCCAGAAAAGATCATCAACAGGGATCTTTTGGAGCAGACCAACCAGCCCATAAGGAAGAAACTACGTAGAAGCATGCAGGAAGAAATGGAGGTGGATCAGCCATGCCCTGAGAAAACCATCAAGTGAGTGATATCACACGCCAAGCCACAGCTCTGATGGGACTCCAATGGGAAGTGACGGGTTGGTCGTTTGTAAGGGGGTGTCATGTAGGAGATGATGTGACGAGGAGATGACAGCATGTGGACAGACACGGTGCTAGGTGAAAATGTTCGCAGAGAATGAAGACATGATGCTGAAGTCCTATGTTCCTCCAGGAACTAAAGGAAACGATAAATGGCACAATAATGAAGCATACGCCGATCGAATTTCAGCTCTAATAATCGTCACTGAACAAAGCATAGAGTGACAGTCAAACCTTTACCTCAACTTCATTGACTTCGAATAGGCCTTCGACAGACAGCCTTGAGTGAGGAGTGATTTCGAAACTAATTCAGCGTTGTGTCGTACTCCAATTATTTATCCAACTCATTCAACACCTATCGATATGACAATGCCACGATTCAGGAAGATGCACAGCAGAAAACTCAGCGATGCATTTGAAGTTGAGACGGAAGTAGGACCATATCCTGTTCTCATCGATGTAACTCCTAATTCTTTTGCTTTAGATTATGCTTCGTTTTGTGCTTTGAGATATAGGAGAATCGAATATTTCTTAACAATAATAGGAATGTAAATGATCTATATTTAGTGTGTAAATTATCTCTCATTATTTTCGCACAAACGTGAAGATTCGCAGGTGAGACATGACAAACTAGCAGCAAATGATACGACGACAGGTCTCCAGTTTAACTGAGATTAGACGAAGGTGATGAAGATAAACAACTAGAACCAGCATCAATCACCATCAATAGGAGAAAATTTCAAAATGAGGTTAATCTAAACACATATCTAGGGAGCCCGGTTTCAACCACAGGAGTTTGGAACAGATGAAGAAGTCAAAGCTTGAATCGGAAGGACAAGACCCACATTTATCAACCTTAAACCAGTTTGGAAATCTTCTGCACCCAGCCATCAAAAATAACGATAATCGAAAAATAAACATGAATATGAAGTCTATGACTTCTTCTAGGCGGGTCAAAAACTTGCAGTGCGTTTCACGATAAGGATTCCCAACAGTTACAGTATTTTGTCTGCAGTGGCCTTCATAGTGAAGAGCAGATAGCTGAGCAGCGAGAAACTCTGCAGCGGTACAAGTCATCCAAGAGCTGATCGCGCAACAAATATGCAGGAGAAAATTGAGGTGGATTCATCGAGTATACTCTGAGGAGGCCGTTGATTAACATTGCAAGTCCGGCCCTCAAGTTGAACCCGAACAGAAAACGAGTTAGGCGTTTTCCCTGGGATTATATGGGTAAGATCGTGCGAGGAGGAGATGAGAGACTATTGGCAATCCACGGAACAGCTAAAGAATATCTCAGAGAATTGCATTAGGTAAAGATGTGTTGTTAAAGACCTACAATCTACTTGGAACTCAAGGGAACAATAAAAGTTACTTTATACTGAGAATAATTCTTAACACTTTTCATCTTCTTGAAGTTATTTGGTATTTATGTGAACCGTGTGGCATATAATGTGCCAGACAAGATTAAAAATTATAAAATTAAACTTCCACCTTTCAAATGTATTCAAAGTTTGATAACAAAATAGCAAGCATATTTGCAGTTCAAAATGTGAAATATACTTAGAGAAGTGAATTACTTCTGGTTATGGAATAAAATGTGTCCTTAAACATGAGTCGGATTAGTTCATACTGCATAAAAGTTATCCTGTATGAGATTAAGCGTAAGGGAGATAGTGTGCAGCTTCCTAGTCATGTTCTCGTCTCCTCTTATTCTAGTAATGTATGTACTCTACTCTCAAAATGAAGGTGGTGGTTTCACAGCCTGATAAACTGATAGCTAGTGTGCATCTAGGAATAAGCAGTTATTTGGTTGTTTGCTTCTCCTAGTGATTATCAAATTTGATGTAACATACTTCTGAAATTATTTACTTTATAAACGGCTTGTAGCCGCGTATACCCTTTGTTAATATTTGACAAATATCTTGTGGATGAATTGCAAATATATTTAATATTCCGAAAAATGCAAGGTCATAGGCTTAATAGAAAACAACTAGAAAAGCCCAGTGGTGGAACTGGTTAATTACTTGCCACAAATTGACGATGAGCAGCAATGTATTTTTACACTGCGCCCACAAGTACATTAGCTGAAATATCTTCATACGTTAGTAAAAAGCCTAACAGTTTTATTTGAACTCCGCGTGTAAATATGTCTGATTTCTGAGAATTCCAGCTTCTACTTGATCAACATTTTGAGAATTTTGGAAAAGTGAATTGCTTTTCTTATATAGTCAGCAGTGAATTAGAACTTATGGTGGCTATTTATACAAGTAATTCATTTTATCTGTAAAACGGTTTCACATGATTACACGGGCTACGCACTATCCGCCTCTTATTCACTTAAAAATATACTTCAAGCGAGAAAATTATTGGACAGATGAGAATCATTATCATGCTGGGTAAAATTGAAATACGTGATATAAATGGCCTAGATATATTCTATGGCTGAATGCCATTTACTGTAATATACAACAACCCAAGGTTACAGTGTATCTGCAAAGCAAGCAATCACCTTGCCTTGATGAAATAAATGCTGCCGATAGGCATATGGTATCACCGGATGTTCCTTCTTTGAGTAAAGAATATCTGTTATTCATGAGTTCATGTTCAATCAGATAACATAGAAACTTTCGTGAAGGGGATAATTAAAGGAAAAAATATTCAGGTGTACACCCAGTGCGTGACTAAAATCTAGTGATGTGATTTATAACCATAAGGTGAGAAATTGCACAGAGTCTCATTTCATAAAAGGCTTTAAAGTGAACATGGACAATTACTGACTGAACAATATGACCTTCAGTCTTCTTTAAAACAATAGATAAGCGAATGGTGGTATAAACTGCTAGATTATTGAACGCCCCAGACATCTCAACTGTGACCACTCATCTAATGCTTTGCAAACGAAGAATTCTCAAGTTCCACATTAAGTTTCATAAATGATATGGCGAAGAGGATATGGTGCATAACAAATATCAGCCTAGCAAAAGTCAGCCTGATGTGAGCAGGTAGGTGGATGCGAAATTCTTTTAAAGCTTGCGACATTTCCGTACAGACATATAATTAAAACGTATTTTGAGCACAGTGAGTGAGGAAACCATTTGCGAAAATGTTATATCGCACAAATTATCACCATTGAATTCTTGGATAAAATTGTTATTTTGTAGATTTTATTCTCTTACTGTACCCTTTCGTCCTCACTTTTAACCTTAATCTCTGTCGTCTTCCATTCTTCCCCGACAAATTTTGATGACTAACTCCAGGGGAATTTAGACTACTATCAACTTTTGTTTATATATTTACCAATGTACTTACTCTCTAGCAAACGAAACAAAAAAACACTTCGTAATTAGTGATCATATGTTCATATTTTATATATATCAAAGGACATTAACAAAATGCAATTGTGTAACACTCATTTGAACACATGATATTGAATGACAAGATACTAATTTATACAACTAAATATCAAATCCTTAGAATATAAGGCTAACTTATTTAAAATATATGAACATCGTTTTGTTCGCTTCACTTAAATGTAAATTCATCGGATTTTCGTAAAACTATTTTGCAATAAGTAGCTGGAGACCACTGTCTTGTTTTTTGTAATGAAATGAAAGAATAAAATTTGAATTGGTACTCACCTAAGTAATCTGTTCCACGAAAGAGATCTGTGGAAAATATACGTAACATGAGTCTATGATTTCTTTCAAATAATCCAACAAATTATTATCTTTAATTAATAGATTATTTGGTGGTATAAACATATTTCCACAAATATGTGCAATAAACTCAGACAAAGTGACAGTATGTAATTCCATATTGGCTCTATGTCATATCAGTTGAAATAACTGCGGTCAGTAGTTTATGTTCGAAAAATAACAACCTTTCATTTTGGGATATATCTGTAAGAGTTCTACTACGGCTTAGAGTGGACCTATACTCTAAACACCCTTACAAACTTCTTCACCGTTTTGGCGACCCGTTAAGCTTAGCAGTACACTACTCGACGCGCAAATACTGACGAACTGTATCGTTGTAAAAAGACTTGATGTGACAAGAGTACCTGGGAGAATTATATTTTATTCAACGAAATATAAAATTCAATAAATAAAGAAGTCGTACAACTTATCTGCAGACGTTGCTGGAGGTAGGCTCGGAGAGTGTGCAGAAAGAGAGCACAACAAGAGAGCGAACCTATGAACGTAAGGAAGACTCACAAGTCAAAAGGTAAAACGTGGATCACCGTGGGTGAGTCAGTTTAAACAAAAGTTCAAAGGTACAATGTGCACTACAGGTTATCCCCCCCTAGAAGGTTGGTGGGAAACCAGCAAGCTTCGATATACAACAGTAGGATGGCTTGGCACAATAGCAATGAGTGAATGAGAAGGTTTGAAAATAGCAATAGTAAAAAAAGAAATTTTACCGAAAGGAAAGAAAGCAAAAGAAAAGAAAAAAAAATTAAGGTAAGTTGGAAGTGGTATGTACATGATTAGTGAAGTAAGACGGAATATGATAAGAAATGACGCTGGTGCCTTGTGTGGTTGTAAGCTTCTGCGGTCTGATGTTGTTTTTTTTTGTCTTTCATATTTTTATTAATCTTTTTTTTTTTATTTTTTTTATTGTATCGATTCATTCTTTTTTTTTTTATTCCGCACTATTACAAGCTTACTTATGTGGAGGTTTGATGGTAAACCTCTGGCGCCGAGGCTGTCGTAGCAAGAAGGTGACTCATTATGTCTAACTTTCATATTAGACCAATGCTCCCTTCCTCCGCTTCAACAGAACCTAGCAGTCATGTTAAAGGCAATCATTATACCAGCGTATGATAAGGAGCAGGGTAAAAAAAAAACAGAAGAAAATGGGAAAGAAAGGTTAAGATTTCAAAATCGGTGTAAAGGTACTACAAAAGCTTGTGCGAAATCAATGCGAGGAAAAGTGGTGCAACTTGGAAGTAGTACGTTAGAATGAGATAAAACAAAGGAAGTTTCTACCCTGTGAGAACTTATAAAATTACAGAGAAGTTAGTACATAACCCATAGCTATGAGTAGTTATCATTACCAAAATTACTTTGTTCATGTTGCTAAGTGCATAACTAAGATGATGCATAATGTTTATAAGTACGGTTCACAAAATAAATGAATTGCAGGAGGGCATAAACCCGAAGGAATATAGTACAGGCTGTGAAAATAAATTGAGCGAATTACTATGTACAGCATAGAAGTGAAGCATTTATGCGCAAAAAAAAATATGTATATCTGTACATTTAACTATACAGTGGAAGTTTTTTTTTTGTTTTTTTTTATTTAAAAAAAATTTTTTTTGTTTATTTATTATTATTTTACATTTTTTTTTACTTTTTTTTTAAATATTTTTTTAAAAAATTTTTTTTTATATAATAATTAAATTTTTTTTTGGAAAGGTAATATACTATTCATAATTCCTCTTTTGGTGTGGGTTACAAGATGACATGAGACGCCAACTGATCTAGCGAGTAGATTGATATGAAAAATTAGGGGTAAAAACAAACTGCTGCTGGTCCTCTGTAACGAGAGATAAAGATTAAAAGGATTAGTGAGGGTTAAAACGACTACTCCCAGAAGCGGGACCAAATAGATTAAATATAGCAGAATTGAATAAGAAATTGTGACAAGGAATAAAAAATCACTAGTAGCCTTACCTATGGATTAGTTCAGTGAAAGAATTCTACGAACCTCTTGGGCCAGTGAACACGTCGACCAGCACGTGTGACAGGGGTCTTACTGGTGACGGTAGGAGAATCATCATTCACCACCGGAGGTGAGGTAGTTGAGTCTGGACAAGGACTAGGTTCAGTGGGGCTATTTGATTGAGCCGATGGGGAGGGTGAAGGTTCTTCAGTGTATGCCGCTTTAAGTCTGTCTATGCTGACAGTGTCTGGGCGGCCGCATCGGTCAATAACGAAAAATTTATCTTTACGACTAAGGACCTTAAAAGGCCCGTCATACGGTGGTTGTAATGGCTTTCGTATGGCGTCGTGACGCACGAAAACGTGTGTACAGTCATCAAGTCGCCGATCAACCTGAACCTTTCGGTTCTGAGTGCGTGTGGAAACTGGTCGGAGTCGCTGCATAAAACTTTTAAGTTGCTGAGCGTAACGGGTGGTATCCGGGAAATTTGGCTCGAAAGTTTCGGGAGCGATTAGCTCGCCTGGTAAACGCATGGTGGTACCGTACACCAATTCAGCTGGCGAGCACTGCAGATCCCCCTTAAGCGTAGCCCGGATGCTAAGCAGGACCAGTGGTAGCGAATCTGTCCACTTACTGTTGTCCACTGCCATCAACGCAGCTTTGAGTTGACGGTGGAAACGTTCTACTAGGCCATTTGCCGCGGGATGATACGCGGTTGTGCGAATGCGTTTGCATCCCAGCATCTCTAACAATTCTTTGAAGCTTGTGGATTCAAATTGTTGTCCGCGGTCGGTAGTGACAGTTGCGGGACATCCAAAATGGGCAACCCAGCCATCCATGAAGGCACGACAGACGGTTTGAGCCGTTACATCAGGTATCGGAATGGCTTCCGGCCAACGTGTGAAACGATCCACACATGTGAGTAAATACGAGCAGCCGTTAGACGGGGGCAGAGGCCCTACTATATCCAGGTGGATATGATGGAACCGAGCGTCTGGGGTCGCAAACGTCCCCAACGGCGTGATGTTATGCTTGGTGACTTTAGCACGTTGGCATTGCACACAAGCACGTGTCCATTGACGCACATCACGGTTCATACCGGGCCACGCAAATCTCGCAGAAATCAACTTGTCCGTTGCTCGTATGCCAGGATGGGAGAGGTTGTGGAGTGACTCAAACACAGTTCGGCGTAAAGACGTGGGAACAATCGGTCGAGGAGTACCAGTTGACATATCGCAAAGTATAGTTGCCTCACTGTTTAGCAAGGGGACGCGTTCTATTTTCAGTGAGGTTTTATTTGACAGGTGTTCTAAGTTCAAATCGTTCAGTTGGAGTTCGGCCATTTTATGAAGATCGATGGTTGGTGGTACGGACGTAGCACATACGCGAGACAAAGCGTCTGCTACCGCGTTATCCGATCCAGAAACGTGCTGGATATCAGAAGTGAACTGGGAAATATAGTCTAAATGGCGTGATTCTCGCGGTGAATACCGGTCTGAAGTAGTGTGGAGGGCGTACGTCAATGGCTTATGGTCGGTAAATACCGTAAATTGCCGGCCTTCCACGAAGTGACGAAAATGCTTGACAGCAGCGTAGACAGCGAGAAGTTCCCTACCGAATGTGCTGTATCGAGATTCGCATGCGGTAAGTTTACGTGAAAAGAAAGCAATCGGTAGCCATACATTAGCCATACGCTGTTGAAGGACGGCTCCGATCGCAGTATTAGAGGCATCTACGGAGATGCTGATTGGAAGTTGAACATCTAGATGGACCAACATTGTGGCGTCAGCAATAGCTTTCTTGATAGCTGCAAAAGCTGTCGAGGCTTCCTTAGTGAACACCAAAGACTTGCATTTCCCTTTAAGCATGTCAGTCAAGGGGGTCACGATATGAGCACACTGTGGGATAAAGCGACGGTAGTAACTAACCATCCCGAGAAAAGTGCGTAGTGCCTTGGGAGAAGTGGGTAGAGGGAAGTTTTGAATAGCTTCTACCCGGTCAGGTAACGGATAAATTCCATCTTTGTCTATCCTATGTCCCAAAAATTTCAGGGAAGTGACTCCAATCTGACACTTCGGCAAGTTGAGTGTGAGGGAGTGTGTCACAAGTCTTTGGAAAACTGTCTGCAAATGAAGTTGATGAGTGGCTTCATCTGGACTAGCTACCAAGATATCGTCCAGATAGGCGAAGGCGAAATCAAGCCCGCGCAAAACGTCATGTATAAAACGCTGGAAGGTTTGTGCAGCGTTCCGTAAGCCAAAAGGCATTCGAAGAAACTCGAACAGGCCAAACGGTGTAATCACAGCAGTCTTAGGTATATCTTCGGGGTCGACGGGAATCTGGTAGTAAGCCCGTGTAAGGTCCAGTTTGCTGAATACTCGAGCTCCCTTGAGTGAGGCGGTTAAATCGTGTATGTGCGGGACAGGGTAGCGATCGGGAACAGTTTGTGCGTTTAGTCTGCGGTAGTCGCCACAAGGACGCCAATCTAAACCGTTATTCTTAGGTACCAGGTGCAACGGTGAGGACCACGGGCTGCTGGATGGCCTAATAATCCCCATTTCCAGCATATGCTCAAACTCCGCTTTGACAACCTTTAGTTTTTCTGGGGATAGTCGCCTCGGCTTTGCGAAAACTGGCGGGCCAGTAGTGACAATATGGTGTTTGACGTTGGAAGTCGCACATGGCAGGCCGCTGCTAGGTTTGAACAAATCTGAAAAAGACTGCAGTATATGCGAATAAGGACCAGTGCTAGTGGGTGTGGCATATACCGGGCTGAGGGCTGGGCCTTGTGTGACGATACCGCTGACGGAGAGGTTTGTGACAGGATCTTTTAACTTATGATTACCTGTATCTACCAGTAATTGGTAGTGCTGCAATAGATCCATGCCAATTATACCTGTGGTAACGTCTGCCACCAGGAAGACCCAACGAAGTGAACGACGCAAACCGATGTTAAGATCTATAAAGCGCCTGCCGAACGTAGCAATTGGCGAACCGTTTGCGGCTCGTAGTTGAAGAGACATTGGCCGCCTGCGCTCCTCTACTGTGGGTGGGATTACACTGACCTCTGCTCCGGTATCAATTAGGAAGCGTATCCCAGTGTTACGGTCGGTAACATAGAAGAGGCGACATGAGAGTGGTTCGCCAGCGACGTTAGTCGCCAGTACGTGCTGGCTTGCTAGTTTCCCGACTGTTGAACATCGAAGGTGCACGGGCGAGTGCACTTTTGGGCTTTTGCTCCGTAACGTCGATGATACCAGCACACTCCAGGCTGGTTACTTCGGGACTGTCGGCGCTTGCTGCTAGCACGTGGCAAGGGTCTACTACTGCGCGAACTTGAGGGACTGCGTCCACGACTCCTGGAGTTCATCTCCTGTCGGATACTACAGATCTCCTCGTATAGCTTGGCAATATGGGCCACCACGTCAAAGCTTGATGACCCCCCATCAGCCATCTTGCACACAGGACACAATATTAACAAGGTGATAAAAAAAACAATATAAGTACAAAGAAAACAAATCAAATCTTTATATCCGTGCGTGAAAAAGAAAAAAAATAACAAAATAAACGATACGTAAAAAGAATTGTTAACACGTTAAGCTATGGCGGAAAACGGTGAAAACGGGCTCACCACTTGTAAGAGTTCTACTACGGCTTAGAGTGGACCTATACTCTAAACACCCTTACAAACTTCTTCACCGTTTTGGCGACCTACTAAGCTTAGCAGTACACTACTGGACGCGCAAATACTGACGAACTGTATCGTTGTAAAAAGACTTGATGTGACAAGAGTACCTGGGAGAATTATATTTTATTCAACGAAATATAAAATTCAATAAATAAAGAAGTCGTACAACTTATCTGCAGACGTTGCTGGAGGTAGGCTCGGAGAGTGTGCAGAAAGAGAGCACAACAAGAGAGCGAACCTATGAACGTAAGGAAGACTCACAAGTCAAAAGGTAAAACGTGGATCACCGTGGGTGAGTCAGTTTAAACAAAAGTTCAAAGGTACAATGTGCACTACATATCTAATACACACATTAATCCTGCATATTAGGTGAATAATTATCAGAATATTCCAATGCACACAAGTAAGGATATTCTTGTTTATTATATTCAATAAATAACAAGCAGAAGATTGAACTGGGTTCATTTTGGAGTGGAATTCACCTTCATAATTCTTGTCGTTTAAGAAAGGGGTTGAATGATGCTGAATGCATTTTTCTTTTGTACCAAAAATGAATTGATGTCACTTGTATTATTTGCGATGAAGATTGATCGACTGTTGAAGTCTACAGACAACTCAGCTGCAGCCACATATCCAAATGCTCTCCGATCGATTTAGATTCATTTCAGGTGATACGCAGAAGATGATGTGGTTCATTGCAAAGCTCGATCTTGCAAAAGCGAATTTGATTAGGGAAGTGCACTGTATACGACAGTTGACTACATTCAGGTATAGAAAGACAACCTATCCACTTCAAATACTGTAAATTCGAATAGCCAGGTGCAAAGCTTTTCTGAGTTAACGAATCGTTTAGGTATTTCTGTGTTTGAAAATATACATAAGACACCCTATCTCTGGAGTTTTAAAGAGTAAATACTTGCTATAGGGATGTGCTGAGTTGTATGAATGAAGAAAACAACATCAATATACGTTACGTGTATAATATGCGAATTTACGTCAGCCTATCTTGATCATTTATCACTCATCGGAAGGACAATCCGTGAAGTGTTGTTATATGATATATCACTTTCGAAATGGTAAAAGTGATAATCGATTACATGAACAATGGTAAATTTGAAATAACTACTGTGGAGAGAATTCGATAATTGCCTCCTTAGATGCTGCATGGAAGGCCAAAATAAGAGTACTTTATTTTCACTGTGTTCGTATTTCTTAAGAGTTATTGTTCATCGTTGTATGATAGATCTATTCTGTTGGAAGAAGTGTCAAATGCCGAGTCACTGGTAAACCTGACTAGAAGACTAGTTCATTTTGGTGACAAGTATTCGACCTTTTACAACTGTGATAATTCTGTCACGCAACACGGTGTGGTTGAATCGCATGAGCTGGTTTCATAGTACAAGCATTGTCTAATATATATTTTCAGAGACATGTTCACTAACTTACTTTTGGCAACTTGATTCAGGTAAACATTTATATACTATTCAGATATTTAAGTTGTCTGAGTTTCATGTTATGGATTTCTAAATACAGTTTTGTTTTTTGTATGCATCTTCCTATCATTCAAACATATGCTTGTGCAGCCTTCGACGTCCTACAGTAAACAGAAGCAAATTTGCTAGAATTTTATTGATTGTGCTACACCCTATATCCATGAACATTTGATTTGTCAATATATGCATAAACGGATATTTACATTATATATATATATATATATATATGCACGTGTGAATTTGAAGCTTGGCATTGCGACGTATGTGCATCAATAATAAACAGTCAGTATAAGTATACCTTTCGAATTCAAGTGAAAATACAGAGGACAGATCTGTTATCACGGATTTTGTGATAACTCTTAAGTCTTTATGTCTGAATTTACTTATACAGTCCTATTTTCCTTTAAAGTATTGTGATTTTTCAGGAAGCAGACTGCATGCTAGCAAATTACTTCTATATTTTGTAAGCTTCTAACCCATATTTCATTTTATTATTATTATTGCTCCCGTGGGTTCCTAGTGGAACATAGGGCTTCAACTGCACGTCTCCATTTTCTTCTGTCTTCTGCTGTACTTTTCGCCTGCATCCATGTTAGTCCATATTCTTTCAACTCCTCTTCACACGATCTCCTCCATGTCACCCTTGGACGTCCCACACGCCGCTTCCCTTTCGGCTGGTTCCACTCGAGGGCTTGACGCGCGATGTCACCCAGCGGTCTCCTCAGCGAGTGTCCGATCCATCTCCACTTTCTCCTGCATATTTGTTGGGCGATCGGTTCTTGCTTTGTTTGTTCCCATAATTCCTTGTTGGTGATTCTTTCCAGCCATCTGATCTTCAGTATAGAGCGAAGACAGTTGTTGATAAAGGTCTGCAACAGGCTGTTGGAAATATTCTTTGTGACCCGCCCGCCAAGTTTCTGATCCGTATAGAAGAACTGACTTTACGTTTGTGTTGAAAATCCGAATTTTGTTGGTGATGCTGAGTGACGAAGATTTCCAGATTGATTTCAGGTTGATGAATGTGTTTCTCGCCTTCCCGATTCTCGTTCGATTTGACATCCTCGTCCGTTCCAACTGCTTGTAGTTGAGACAATGCTCCCTAGATAAGTGAATGAAGTAACCTCTTTCAAATCCCTCCCGTTGATGGTGATTGGCGTTGGATGTTGTTGCTGTTGTTGGTTGGTTATTTTCATAATCTTCGTCTTGTCTATGTTCACCTGGAGTCTTGTCTTCGCCAGCTGCTTCTTCGACCAGTTTGTCGGTTTTCGCTTGTAAGTCTTCGATTGTGTGTGACATCAAACATAAATCATCCACGCGTGAAATCCAGGTCTTCTAGGTTCTTCACGCGTCTGTCCAGGATATTCCTGTCTTCTCGTTTCCCACCACTGTCCGACGCATAATCCAGTCAGTCCACCACAATTAGGAATATCATTGGTGATAGTAAGCACCCTTGTCTGACTCCTGTGTTTACTCCAAACGCCTTGCTGAGTTTTCCGTTGTGGATCACTTGGCATGTGCCGTTGTCGTACAGCTGTTGAATGAGGTTGATGAATATTTGAGGTACGCCATAGTACTCGAGTAATTTCCAAATTACTTCACGGTCAACGCTGTCGAAGGCCTTCTCAAAGTCTATAAAGTTGAGGTAGAGGTTTGATCGCCATTCCATGCTTTGTTCTGTGATGATGATGCGTAGAGTTGCAATTTGGTCAGTACATGATTTGCCTGACTTTCCTGAATCCAGCTTGTTCTGGTCGGAGTTCTGTCTCCAGTGCGTCCTTTAATCTCTCCAGGATGATGCGACTCAGGATTTTACTTGGCGTCGATAGGAGCATGATTCCTCGCCAGTTCTTGCAGAGTCCTAAGTCGCTCTTCTTTGGTAGTTTCACGAGGTAACCTTTCCTCTAGTCAGTAGGCACCTTTCCCTCCTTCCAGACCTTTTGCAATAATGGAGTCAGCATGTCTGCTGTAGTCTCTGGGTCTGCTTTCAGTGCTTCAGGGGGTATTCCATCTGGTCCGGCTGCTTTTCCAGCTTTCAGAAGCTTGATTGCGTTCAAGACTTCAGCTCTCGTTGGAGGATTGGTGTCAACTTGCAGTTGTGTGCGCGCTGTTGTTGGTATTTCTGGACGGGTTGCAGGTGATGGTCGGTTCAAGAGTCCTTTGAAGTGATCCGCCCATTGTTTAATCTGTTTTTCTTCCTTGGTAATTGGGTTCCCTTGGCTGTCTTTTATAGGTTTCGCTTGTGTTGATCTCTTCCCGGATAGAGATTTGGTTATCTGATATAGTGTCCTCAGGTCCCTTTTGCCTGCTTCCTTTTCAGCTTCAGTGGCTAGGTTGTCGTAGAATCGTCTTTTGTCCTTCCTAGCACTCTTCTTCACTTCTTTGTCCAGTGCTTTGTAAGTTGAGCTCATCGTCTCCTTCTCCTGTCCGTCCTTGCATTGAATCATTTTCTCTTTCACCATTCTCCTCTCTTCTATTAATTTCCAAGTGTCCATTGAGAGCCATTCCTTGTCTTGTCTCTTCTTTCTTCCTAGAACCGTTGAACACGTTTCGTTGAGAATCGCCTTCAGAGACTTCCAATGTTCTTCCACGCATGATTCTTCAGTGATGTCGCGTAGTGTTTCCTGCTTTGCTCTGACAGTTGCAGTGAAGATGTCTTTTGTGGTTGTGTCCTTCAGTAATTGAGTGTTGAACTTGCATTGTGGCCTATCCCCAGCTATCCTCGAGGCTTTTAGTTTCACCTTGAAAGTCCCTTCTACTAGATAGTGGTCTGAACCCACATCTGCTCCTCTCCTCGACCTTGTGTCCAGTAGGCTCCGTCTCCACTTTCTTGAAATTGAGATGAAGTCTATTTGGTTCTTGGTGTTTCCATCTGGTGAAATCCATGTCGTCTTGTGTATATCCTTGTGTTTGAACACACTACCACCAATCACCAAATCATTGAAGGCGCAGAAGTCTGAGAAGAGTTCACCATTGTCGTTCATTTCGCCGAGGGCCTCACGACCCATGGTGAGTTCTCTTCCTGTGTTGCCTCCTCCCAGGTTCGCATTCACGTCGCCCATCAGGATTTTGATATCGCCATTTGGGACGTTGTCCATTATTGCTTGCAGCTGTCTGTAGAACGCCTCCTTCTTCTCTTGTTCTGAGACGTTTGTAGGCGCATAGCATTGGATGACTGTATCTTTCCTTCCTTTTGAGTTGAACCTGGCTGTCATTATCCTGGAGGAGATTGGTTCCCACTGCATGAGAGCTTTGGTTGCTGTTGGTGACATCATGATGGCCACTCCCTCGGTGTGCTCATGGTTGTCCTCTGGGTGGCCGAAAAATATTACTGTCTCTCCAGTAGGTAGTTGGCACCTTCCAGTTCCGTTCCATCTGCTTTCGCAGATTCCCAACACTTCTATTCTGTACCTTCTCATTTCAGCGGCTATCTGGGCAGCCTTTCCAGTTTCGTACATTGTACGAACATTCCAGGTACCCATCCTTACTTTTGCTTTCATCGGAAGAAGGCACATCGGCTGACTGGCTTCCCGAAGGCTAGCTTTCACCAGCCTGCGTCATTTCACTTCCCCGATTTCAGCGAAAAGTAAGGCTATTGCTTGTGTTTTTAGAATTTTTAATATATTTATTCGTTGAAGTTTTTGTAGCGATTTGGTTGTTTTACAGGGGTGGAGTTGCTAGCACCACGCCAAAACCCTCCCTCTTTACCCGGGCTTGGGACCGGCGAGAAAACTAGTAAGCTAGTAGCCTAGCAATTTAGCATTTCATGATTAAATATAATTGAAGCGACTTTACTCACTAGCTAAAATGCAGCTGTTATTCTGAATTGGGCGAATTTTAACGAGTCCGAATCATATTTCGCAGTAATATAGAAAAGTAATAATAATTACGGTATCCCAGAGACAAACAGTCTGCTGCATCTCAACCTTATATGAATATATATTCACCAGTGTACATTATAGTGGGGGATTTAGTTGGAAAAGAAAACTTCATACACGGACGATTGCTTGACAAAAGTCAATGAAGTGAAATCAACCACATTTACATTGAAATTTGCCAAAAGTGATTGTGTGACTATATATGAGAACATGTCATATAACAAGATGACACTAATTTATACATTTAGAGTAAAACACTTAAGGATAATTAATAGAAGTTCTCTTTTTGCACATCCCTCATAAGTGTAAATCCTTAGTGGTATTCCAACCATTATTTCATAACAAATGAACAATAAATAACCTTTCCATTTAGTGTAGAAAAAGAAGAATTAAACAGCAGATCCTACGTACACTCATGAACTGCAAGAATGAAATCGAACAAAATTCGTAAAAAATAGGTTTGTTATGACTGAGTGAACAGAATATAATCCATAGTTAACATAACACTTAATAATGTGAACACGTTTCACTTAGTTCCGCATAATAATTCCCTGTCAGAATTTATATATTTAACGTAATATATGTTAAAGTCAGATGAAAACGTATTTGGAAACCATAATGTTCTCTAGTGGGTTGTTTTTATTTAGAATACTGCAGCTACCAGAAGCACAATTCGATCTGATATTTGGTTCTTCGTGCTTGCTTAAAACGCTTTTTCAAACATTTCTACATGTTTCACGAAAATACACCTCAATCAACTGCTTAGAATTTGGTGTTGATGGTCATTCAAGAGGTTTTTAGTTCTCAATTTTCATCATTTCACTAGCGTACCACTGCATTGAATTTCTGACTGTGTAGTGCCACCTGACGTGACTACCTGTGTGCTGATGTTCACAGTTGATACATTGCCAGTAATTGAGTCTCAGATGTTTGAATCCTACCTACAACGTGATGAATTTAACTTAGCCAGCTTGAATGAATTTTACTTAAACTGAGAAACCTACTCAACATTATGCAGAATTTTGTTGTTCACCAGACACCTGTTTGGAATTTATTTATTTATTTTATGGAAGACATTGCAGATATTCCATTTAGAGTTCCATTTTCATTCATTTTGACAGGTGATATTCTCAAACTTCTTGTATCAAGGTTTAATAACATAAGATTAAAATGTACATTCACTTTGAATCACTGAGCAGTAAGTTGTCAAAGACACTCCCAAAAATTGACTTGGTTGGATGCCGTCGATAACATAAGCGACAGATACTAAAATAACTTACACAGGCCCACTTAAGTTTCGAGTGATATCAGATATGAAAACAAAGTTGTGGGTATATTATATGATGCGGGATTCCTAATGAAAACAAAAGTGACATTGGACATCATCACCTCGTTTTTCAAGCAAAACTTGGTACCACCATATTGAGACTCATAAAAAAGGTGATTTTTAAATGTAAGTGAATTCCATTATTTCTGATAGCGTCAGATATAGGGACTTTTACCTACTTGGAATTCATTTCTATTTGAGTAATTATTGCAACTTTACGTGTGCAAAAATTTTTATATTATTCCGAATCACTTTTCTGGTTGTGACGTTTATAGAGTTGTTTTGTTCACAATGTTGTCAAGATGTTTCTGATACCCATTAACTTTTCCTGATCATTTTCTGATTCTCTGATGAGTCTCTGTGTATAATACGTTTAAAAATTCTTACTTACGAAATTCCTCTGAATAAATTCAAAATGTACTCAGCAATTAATCCACTCCTTCAAATGCACTACCTGTTATTTCTTCATTGATTTTCGACTGTGATGAGAACCATGTAGAAACAGTTCTGTAGAAATTGTTATGCTGTCATGCATAAGAAGAAGGGCTGAATATACGAGCTTATCTGCCATAATACCATTCACCTACATCACTTTAGTTAGGTATTGTTCAGAATCAAAATGAATGACTGAAATCTGCGAGGATAAATGTATAAGTTGTGTCATCCGTCACGTTTTTGTGTGAAAGTAGGAGGTTTTGCATTAAGATGAAAGTTTGGAATTTTGTCTATTTATGAGAGATTAAGAACTTCAGATATTCAGATTGTTTGCTGCTCAGTGCAGTGATTATCATTGTTTTATTAATCAATGTTCGTGAAGAAATGCTTGTGCGACGGTCACATATCAGTTTTAAAACTTAAAACTTCTTTACATAACATATACAACCCAATTCCATAGTTTGTTAATCACAGCCCTAAAAGGTTTGATACGAAAATGGTCAACAGGCTTTTTATTTCATTTTCACTGTCTATTTCATTAGTTTCAGTGTAATACACAAGAGTGACCGAAGGACACACCTAGGAGGAAAACATTCCGTCCTACATTTTTGGTGGATCACATGGAATTTTTTGAATAGCTTTTCGTTTCATCACCACAAACTGAAGGCGATTGCAGGATATTTTGATAAAAGGACCAAGATAAGAGATATAGAATAGTTTCCTTGTAGTTTTTTTTGGAGAGTAGTATCCTCAATTTACTGCAAAGATTCTGAATAGCCTATTAACTTTAGTAAATTATGCATAAGGGAGATAATTGTCTGCTTCATCTACGTCAATTCAACGAAGGAAGTGAATGAGGTTATACTAATCTGATTGTACACGATATTGTTCAAGTATTTCCTTGAAATTCCTTGTGAACTCAAAATTGCTTTAGTGAATTAATGGACTAAATTTAACTGACCTAATAAGTCAGTAATAACTCCATTTTAGGTAATATTTCATTTTGATGAATCACACAATTTTGTTATCCAGTTATGATAACTAATGACGATTAGAGCACAAATTTTTGCTCATAATCATATCGAATCTCTCACACAACTTTTTCCTTCATTTATATACATGAGTGAAACTGATGATTAGACATTTGAATAAAAACCAATATAGGATAGTGTACATTGAGGAACAATACTAGCGTCACCAATCAAGTACAATCAGATGAAAAATAAGATGACTTTATGGTCAAAATAAGTAACGTGTAGCTCAAACACAAACTCTAATAAATGCTAAATGATAAACATCAGGAAATTGTGATTGAAACATTCAATAAAGCTAGGGAAGCAACATTCAATAAATCAGTAACCACGCTAACACAGAATTTCAATAAGTTATTACAAGAAAAGAACGGCATATTGATCATATTGTAGATAGTCTGAAGTCGTTTAAAATAATCAACAAGCAAAAGAAACCTCGCTTGCTATGCTTTGCTGAAGCAATTGCCATCAAACGACTTAAACCAAATCTATGTACGCAGAAAGAGACAGTGGTGAATCTTGCACTGCTCTGGTGATAACAAAAAAATAAACAACTTTCATGAGTCACCTTTTTCATGTTTAGAAAACTCTACTCTCTCACCTAAACATGACTCACCCTACCTTGTTTCTTTTCTATCCTTTTTTCTATTTGCTATTAGATAAGACGTTTTCTTTAGTTACGTAATCTACTTTTTGTCATGCTCTTTCTAGCCAAACCTTGTTTCTACACACACACACACATATATATATATATATATACACAACCCTGTTTTTTGTTTCCAAGCCTAATTGTCTAATTATTCTATAAATAGTCAGTGTTTGTAACTCCTAATCAGTTAAATTATTCCGGACTAATGTTACTTTTAATTCCTACCAATTACTCTTTATGATCGTGGAAAAGTATGTTCATATCTTTGATGTAATTCAAATTTTTAACGTTCAGGTTGTAACCAGTTGAGAAGAATCCTCGAAATAATAAAAGAACAGCTCATATTATCCTGGTATAATTTTTGTTCTTGCTTTGTTCAAGTTTACAATGGACGAAGTTGGCAACAACATTTTATCTTTTATTGACAAAACAAAATGGCAATTAACCACCCATCAAGAGAATTCCGACCTGGTGAGATAAAACTGCTTGAAAAAGGATTAACTTTCAAAGTAACGGGTAGCAGATTAAATTCGGACATCATCCTTAACATATAAACAGCGGTAAGTTCATTAGATAAGATGACAACAGGATAGGCTCGAACTCAATGTGTATTAGCTCTTAAGAAACAAAAAAACTTGTACAGTCAGAGTCAACAACATCGAAAAGACTAGCTCTAATTAGTGTAAAGTAGGATAAAAACATTGCCATCACTAAAGCTGATAAAAGAAGCTCTACAGGAGTTTTGATAAATCTGCCTTTATCAAGAATGTCACTTAACAAATTGAGACGGGATGATATGGGGAAATTATGTAGTCTGTAGATACAGTAATAAATAAGATTAGGAAGTCTACAGCGTATTTAATAAACAGAATGAGTGAGTCTAAATGGTCTTTAATTTAATGCCTCAAACTAATAATGCTAGTAGAATGCATGGCTCTATTGAAATACGTAAACCAGGTTTCCCCATGCGACCAACAGTAGATTTCAGAAATAGGAAAACATACGAATTATTAAAACATTTAGCACTAATATTATGCCCCATTAGAAATAGCTCAAACTATATGCTAACTAATTCATATGAGATGAAAAATAAACTAAATGACATTCAATTAGAGAATGATGAAACAATGGTTAGTTTTGATATGACTAGTCTTTATAATAAAATACAAAACAGTATGGCCTTAGAAGCTCTTGAAACAGAAACAACTTCTGGTCCCAAACTTAGTCATAGGAAAAAGCTGCCCATTGAGGAAATTACTTTAGGTTTTCCGTTATGCCTCACATCTAGTATCTTTGAATTCCAACGCAAAGTATACCGACAAACAGATGGTGTAGTAATGGGATCACCAATATCCCTATCGTAGCAGATATGTTTATGGACAGCTGGGGAAATATTGCACTTAATACATTTAATTCTACTCCGAAAATATGGTGAAGCTATGTGGATGATACTTCCGCAGTGTTAGAAACAGAACATATTTCTAGCTTCTTGACATATATAAACTCACTCGTGAAGGATATAAAATAGACTTTTAATTCGGAAAATGAACAAAGATTACTATCGATGTTACAGTGCGAAATGAAGCAAAGAGAGGAACTAAAACTGTACACTGGTGTTTATAAAAAGTCAAAGCATGTTAACAGATATTTGGACTTTACTTCGTCTCATTTGTTGTCTGTGAAGACTGGCTTAGTTTAGTGTTTAACAAACCAAGCGGTAGCACTAAGTTGTACAAGAAAAGACCTAAACAATGAAATGAAACAGATAAAAAGCCGTTGGTGTTGAGTAAATACCCAATAAAATCTCAAAGGCAAGATGAAAAGAAATGTGAAACTAATAATGATAATATGCGTAAGAGAGAATATAAGGCCTCTACAGTTACACTTTACAAGTAGAGTAGATATGAGACCCTAGGTAAGATACTTGATAAAGCTGGAATTAGAGTGGCATTTAAACCTACCAACATACTCAAGGCCAAGCTCTGTAGGCTGAAAGACTCGGTGGACCCGATTAAATAAAGTAATATAATTTACAAAATAGCTTGCGCTGACTGTGGGGTCAACTACATATATCACAATAGTAGGTCGGGGGTAGTCAGATTGTCAGAACATAAGAAATTAGCCAAGATTAGAATGACTGATCCCACGAAGATAAGTAATTGGGAGAGAAACTCAGTGATAGCACTGTATGCATTAATACAACCACACAATATGGTGGAACAGAATCAAAATTCTAAAAACTAATATAAGTAGGTGGAGAGAGGGGTTGACTACTGAATCCTGGTTCATCGAGTCTACACCCAACATATGCTACAGAAATGACTCAACGCAAATACCAGTGATATGGAAGATATTAACAGCAGTCTAATCAGAGGAGGATGATAAATAATCTTAAACTTCTACTTCAATTCGCATGCATTACAACATTCTAAGAAGCTACTTATTTTGACCATAAAGTCATCTTATTTTTCATCTGATTGTACTTGATTGGTGACACTAGTATTGTTCCTCAATGTACACTATCCTATATTGGTTTTTATTCAAATATCTAATCATCAGTTTCACTCATGTATATAAATGAAGGAAAAAGTTGTGTGAGAGATTCGATATGATTATGAGCAATAGATTGTGCTCGAGACGTGATTATCAGTAAATATTACTGAGCAACACTGTGTGATTTATGAAAATAAAATCTTGTCTTTAATGTAGTCAAACTCCACCACAGTGCCCAAGTTTTACACTTATATTATTAGGTAAGAGTTGTTTATTTTTCAGAGAACAATACAGTGTATTTGCTTATATTCTTTGTTTTTCTAATTTTTGCTTAACGTCCTGCCTTACCTTAAAAGCATCTTATTAGCTAGTACATGCAGCAACTACTCATAATTTTTGACTTATTACCTTATTCTGAATGATTGTCAACTTTATTATTGTTTCAGAAACTTTTTTAATTTATTATTTGGTGGTGTCGAAGATTGATTTGAAGGAAAGGTATTTCACTAAAAGAATGAACCCACCTTTATCTATCAGAAACGAAGAAGTAGTGAAAGTAAATAAGAAGTTATTATACATGAAGCAGTTTAAGCAAATCTATATCTAAACTGCTCGATCGCATCCGTAGGTGTGCACGTATGCAAAGATAGATAACAGGGCACTGGGGCACCACAGTGTCTCCCAAAAGTCATATAATATAATACATTATTTCACTGCTTAATTCCAAATTCCAAAGCAAATGATTTAAATCAAATATATAGGCGCTCTGAGGAAATTATACTTAAGAAGCAACGTCACGATGATGAAAAGTGAATCCTTTACAACCAAATTTTGCATGTAAAGTTATCCAGTTGTCGGCGTGTGATTATTAAGTATAGATGACTTCATGAAAACTGAACAGCGTTCAAGCGGATGATGAAAACTTCGAAAGTCATTCACAGTCAAGGATGATGCGGAGAAACTGGAAAAAAGTTATTCGACAAGCTGAAAAGTTTATTAAATAAAAATATAATCTTTCATCAAATATATGATTATCATCAGGGTGTATGAACATAAACAACTTGAGTGTATGAGCTACATAAATCTGAGTTACTAAACATATCAGTATATGTAGTATTTGACATAATGAATACATCATTTCACTTAGAAAGAAGATGATTAAGCGACACTATAAGTTGCTGCAAAAGAAAACGTTTGAAGATAACTTCAATGATACCAACCTATTTGTAAAAAGGATGGAGATGAAAACATCATCAATGGCATCATGATCTTGCTGTAGCTACATGGATATGCGGCGTACATATCAGTAACGAGAATTCAAATTTATAGCGCCAAGTTCAACTTTAGAAGTAGTTGTGAGTAGATAATTGTCTAACGGTGTCTTCAGGATTCATTACCATAGAAGAAAGAGGTGCCAGAAAATAAGTCGGCTTGAATATTGCCTGTTGTAAAACGCGAACTTTAAAATTGCTGAAATTGACACAAACGGTAAAGGAAAGTATGACTCACGTTTCTGTACTGAAGAGAGAAAAAAATATCAGGGGTACAGGTAAACAAAATTCATCAACTCATCAAGTTTTTATCAAAACAAGATTTTTAGCGAACAACTGTTTTCGATAAATTCTTCTTCAGCCTCTACAGTTATAAATCCATGAATAATAGAGTACAATAGCCAATAAAGGCAAATGAAAATAATATCAGAAACTCTATTGGGGTGCATGCGTAAGTTGAGATGATACTCCATTAGTTAGCATAGTCAATTAAATGTGTATAGTCAGAAAAATGTGATGAAGTGTGAATGAACAATTGGGTGATATAGTGTAGTTTTATAGTCAACAGAATACAAGTGTCCTTGGGGCAAGAAAATGCGATAACCACAAAATACATGCAAAGACACGTTAACAGAGGAGGCACTGGATGTGAGGGCTGACCGATAATGTCTAATGATAAAATAAAGAGGCTAAATTGTAAATTGTAATAAAATGCTACAGAATTGGCAGGCTTAGTATAAAATCATAAAGGTTGACAAAAATAAGGGTAACAATGAGGTAAAATGAACTGGATGGAGAAATGGAAAATAAAGACATGATATCACAAAATTATAATAATAATAGTAAGAACAAATTATGATCCTGGTGACCTTATAGTGGGCCAAGGTAGACAAAGAGAGTGAATAAGTTTCTTCTGTACACACAGGTTTGGTCTCTCTCTCTATTCATTTCTAAAGCTTCAACTATGCCTGGGAGGCGTAATCGTGTGCCTTTGGGGAGATTGTTTGGTACTCGATACACAACTGTAAATGACTCATCTACTTTGATGCTGTGTTCGCTATCCACTAGATGAGACAGAATTGCACTATTTAATGATTTGGTTGCTCTTTTCCCGAGCCAAACAGGAATATGTTCACGAATGCGTAAAGATAAATTCCTCCGGGTACGACCTATATTATTATCAACAGAATTATTACAATTACTGTTGTAATTATTTCGATCTCCACTATGGGATAAGGAGATCAGCCTATTCCGTATGAGAAAAACTCACACTTTATTTCAGGGCAAATAAAACATTGAAGTAAGGAAGATCTAAGAATTGAAACATTTTCATGTGGATGGGGTTTAGTCCAGAGCGAACTGTAAACACATGTGTTGGATTACTCTAACCTTATACGCTTAAAAGCTTTCTGATTCTTTGTCTAAATTACTATTCGGTTGGGAGTGGATTCAGCTCACTGTCCAACTTTCATCAAGTGCTGTGGGGTAATTTCCAGATTAGTATTTCACTTTCGAAGATAATTCATCTTTTGAATTTCGTGTGATAAAATGAACCCTAGTTTTCGCAACCTTTCATAATCTAGATTCAGAATGCACAAGTTTGAATGTAAGGGTTAAGAAAATTGAAGGTGGTTAATTGTAAAACTGAAAACGCTATCTTCGTTTAAATTTCTTACTCTCTATTTAGTAAAATAAAACTTGAAGAAAAGCGTAGTTTAACCACTGGTGATCAGGATTTTTAGAGACCTTTCCAAAATGTGTTGAATGTTTCTGTATCAGCTTTTCAGAGAATGATTCACGCGATTGACTTAGTGTACAATTACATGTGGCTTTCGAATAAGTCTGCTACAGTGTTGACAATAAGATTTTCAATAAATTTTTACTCAGTTTTTGTTCTACTTTTCTACTTACTTGCACCTACTACAATTTAAAGATAAAAATGACCCGAAATTTTTCAAACCGTTAAAAGTGAACTTAGTTTGGACATATATAATAAAAATGTCAGACAAAAATCTAAACTAACTCATGTCATTTGTGCAGAATTCACAAGTATATAGTGTTCGAATAATCTGAATGTTTGAATAAATTTATATGTGGAAGAACTCAAGCTCCAGTCAATTATGTAGCCAGAGGTTTCACTTAGAATCATGATAAAATATATTGTTAGAAATGGATCCTCAGAGGAAACAAATGTTCGTCGTGCAATTGGTTAATTTCAGCAGACCAAATAGGAAATGTTCAAACCTTCTATTTAGCAAGGAGATATAAAAATGATTATAATGGATTCTGAAGAAAAATTATGTTGCACCATCGGATCAAAAGAATATTAGTGTGGTCAATTATGCGCAATCCTCCATAGAATGATTGATGGTTTGTTGGCTATTTGAGAAGAAATCTGTTTGAAAAAGGCCTGGTACAAATGCAAGCTGATCATTTGCTAAGTCTGAAACATACTACAAAACATAAACGCTTCAAGGTCTTTTCTTTGGTATGAACAGTAGTACATCAGTTTACTTCATTATTACAAAATTTATTGTCATGGTGTATTCGAATTTAAAGTTAGTGTGATCAAAACCAAATGAGAGTTGTCAAGGAAAGAATAGTGAATGTGTAATCAGTTTCAGACTTCAATGTATTCAATCGTGGTACATACATAATTCGTCTGTAAAGATATGAAAATCACGCTAACTTTAAAACAGAGGTTCAGAGTGAAAATAAATTCAGAAATACTTGAAAATACGCATAATTAACTGATCATCACAACTCATGAGCTTTAACTGAGCATCCAAACAAATTCCAGTGGTGACGGAATTTGTGATTGTAGTCAACATGTTAAACATATCTTTGCACAAAACGTCACAGTGAAAATTATATGTCACTTTAATTCAGATGACGCTAGTAACATTTTCCTAACTTAAAAAGAAAATGGTAGAGATCTGTGTGTAAAACATTAGTTAGGTAACTACTGGTTTTGATTCGCCTATATTATTAATTTTCACCAGCTATTTGTAATCGTGTGTAGTGACTAAATTCATTACGAAGGTTATACTTTGATTGACCACTATCAGAAGCTAGGTGGAAACCATATTTAAATAAACTAGCGCTCATTTCACCAGTCTGAAAGGGAAGTCGGATAATGTTTTAATTAATTTACACTATGTGACTTTCACTTTTTCAGCCATTCATCCGATGAGATTCTGACGAACGAACTGAGACGCTTTGACTGATCAGCTACACAGTTAATGGGATGTCGTCAATAACTGTCATTTTAGTTGACATGTTAGCAGTGGACCTCAAGCCAGTTAGTTTCAGGTTTCAATCCTGTCCAACAAACGCCAGTCTGCTAAGCTGAGTAATGGCATCAGCCCTCATAGAGTAAGTGTAATTCATGGCCTGTTATACGACAGATATGTCCCACGTTACTGAGTTTTTTCATTGCTCTAAGCCTTCCTAAGCAAAGTCAACAGTTATTTACACATTCAGTGCACTTTGTTTGACGAGATAATGATCTAATTTTCAAATGTGAGCGATTTATCATGGTCTTCGTATGTTTGATTCGCTTTCATGTTACTGAAATCTCTTAAAATGTCCGAATATTTTGAAGTGATTTATGGTGAATAAATTTGCTGGCGATCTGAGTATCAGACAAATAATATAGAGTCATGCTTGTTTCTTCATCTGCGTCACACAGTTTACTCAATAATCTTTAGTGAATCCATATTAGTTTGTTTATTAGACGTTTCACTGTGTGATACATCTAATAAACAAAATAATACGGAATTACTTACTACCACAGTGCCCAAGTTTTACACATATATTAATCTCTGGTGAAGCAAAAAACAACTATTGACTTAAATCTAATGATTTGTTGAACATTTACTGCATTAAGAATATTCAGTTACATTTTTTTTATTTTGCTTTGCTCATCACCTTGAGTTTCTTAAGTTCCTTTCATTTATTCAGCTGCACCGAGAACTTTATTTTATAGTCTAAAGTAAACTTCTGCGGAACAAAAGGCTGTCCTCTTTAGGTTATTCAATTGTGAGTGACATATCACTGTTAGAAATTCACCCTGAATTTTTAATTTGAATGCTCAGAATAATGTGCAATTATCCTTGAAATTCTGACCGTTTAAATATCAACTGTTAGTTTATGCATACGTTTTTCATCTGAATAAATCAAAGAAAATGAATACATTTGAAAACATTTCCAGGGCAATCATTAATAATTAAGCATTAACGTGGGTGGGTAATTTTGTTTGATAATGACTATTGGTTGAATTGCAAGGGCGAATTTCATCATATCTGTGACGGTCTCATACCCGGTAGTTTCAAATCCAAAAGGAGTATCATGAGCAGTAGCTGCTTACACTTCTAATCTCCATGATTCTAAATAATATGAAGTTTATCCTTAGACGTCGTTGAAACTTCCGTACTATTTGCTTCCATTCGATAGCAACCAAGAGATTAGGTCTTGGAAATGCAAATTGGCCTAGAAACAAAAGTGACTTGATATAAAATTAATATTTCCTTGAGTTCCGAGTTGAACATATGTCTACATCAACGCATTTGCACTTTGTTCTGTCTTCTGCCCTCCTATTCAGCCTGGTTCACGTTTGCCCGTTATCTGTCCTTCTCTAACGACCTCTTCCATGTCATCTTGGTACTGATAACCAACTCAACGCTACTCATTTGGATTAGAACTCGAGGTTTTGCAGTGTGACGTCATTCGAAGGTCTCCTCAATTTATACCCGATCCATTTACATTTTTACCACACATTTGTTCCAAAGCATAGTTTCTTGTTACTAACTCTTTCTGCTCATTTGATATTCAGCATGGCGCCAGCGAAGTTGGCAGCTGTTGATGAGAGTCTGCAAACTGTTGAAAATCCTTTCCTTGACACGCTAAGTTTCTGACCCATGTAGAAGAACCGACTTCATATTGGTGTGGAAAATGCGGATCTGCTCCTTATGCTGGGTTCGGAAGATTTCCAAAGTGGTTTCAGTTTGATAAAAGCCTTTCCGATTCCTACTGGCTATTACATCGTCGGCTTTGCCCCTGTAGTTGAGGGGATGCCTATCAGATAAGTGAAGGAGGCAACCTCTGTTAAATCTTCCTCCTAGCTGGTTACTGCTAATGGTTGTTGTTGCTGTTGCTGTTGAATGGTAGGATATCTTCATCACTGTCGTCTTATCTGTGTTCAACTGCAGTCCTGTTTTTGCTGGCAGCCTATTCATCTAATTTGCTGGTTTTCGCTTGCGGGCTTTCGGGTTTGTGTGACATTACACATCTATCATGTGCGAAATCCAGATCTTCTAGAGTCCTCTCGTCGGTCTTCCAGCGTATTTCTGACTCCTAGGCCCAAAAATCTGATGCGTAATCCAGAGCACCACAATTAGTATCATCGGTGATAACAGGCATGCAGCCTTGTCTAACTCCTGTATGCACTGAGGACGGCTCGCTGAGTTTTCCGTTGTGGATCACCTAACACGTTTCATTTTCATATAGCTGTTGAATGACGTTGATAAACAGTTGGGCACCGCATGCCGTAGTGTTGGTGTAGCTTCCAAATTACTTCTCGGTGAATGAGGTCGAAGGCCTCCTTGGAGTTGATGAAGTTGAGGTAGAGGTTTTACTGTCATTCTATGCTCTATTCTGTGATGATGATAATGCGTAGTGCTGCAATTCGATCAGCATATGATTTGCCTTTTCTGAATCCGACTTGTTCCTGTTCCGCGATGTTTGTAGCACTTTGAATAGGAGTTGATAAGTGTGACCTTCCCCTTCATTTTGAGTTGAATCTTGCTGTCATGATTCTAGATGAATTTGGCTGCCACTGATTTAGGGCTTTGGCTGTTGCTTTTGACATCACAATAGCTACTCACTCCGTCAGTGTGCTCGTAGTTATCATCTGTGTGACCATGCCAGAGTAAATTACTGACTCCAGTTAATAATTTTGACAGTCAACATTCATTCCATCTATTCTTGCGGATTCACAGTACTTCTGTGCCATATCTTCGCATTTCGTTGGCTACTTGGGTGGCCCTCACAGCCAGCCTCGTGCATTATGTGCACATTCCATGCCCCCTTTCATGGAGAGAAGACAGATTGGCCGACTAGCTTTACAAAAACTTTCACCAGCCTGATGGGTGATTTCGCCTCTGTGATTCCAGCGAAAAAACGTTTGTTCCTAATATTTTTTTATTTTTATTTGAATTCCTTTTTATCTCGACTTGGGACTGGCTAGAAAACTAGCAAGCTTGTTAACTAGACGACGTTTATAGGTCTAAAAATAATGTTACAGTCAGATCAGGATACCAAAGCTGTAGTGACAAATATTTAAAGGGTTGCTGATGGTTTACATCACTGTCCAAAGTAGAATGGAAACTACATCGCTGAGTGAATTAAAGCACTATCTGTCTTCGATATGACGTCTACAACATATATTGCACCTTCCTTTAAATAAAAAGAATAATTTTTTATAACTGTTTTGTCTTAAAATCATTGGAACAATATGTTTTATTAGAGATCCAGTTATTCACCTTTTGATGAGTTTTAGGCTGCCAATACCTAATACCCTCAATGTGTCCATGTCAACTGGGCCCTCTTTAGTTCTCTTAACTGTAACGATATGAGGAAGATAAACAAGACTGTAATTTTTGTTTCAGCTTCCTCATTTTCCTGTGTCTCTTAACAATTTCGAGTCGGTAATCTACTTACTAATAACTTGACGAAATAAGTCAGAACATTCGCTTTTCGAAAATATTTCCAATAGGTACCTGAAATGAAGTGCGCCTTAAAACCTTTTACTCAAGATATCTGAAGTGGATGATGAATGAGTTGTTGCGGCGCTAATGGATGCTGTGTTTCAGATTTAAAAACTAACTAAGCTCAATCCAAATGAACTAATTATCGTAAATGCACATGGTGGATACTTCTCATTGATAGATATTAGTAGTTTGATGCCATTTACATCATTTGGTAGGGGTTTCCAGTCAGATCAGTGTATTCTTAACAACGGATACACTTTTTGCTCATTTAATGCCAAGTTCCCAAGCGGTATACCATATTCAGCGTAGATAACGAATTCGAATCACGTTAATCTACTCAAATAATGCAGGTTTCTAGATTTTATATTGGCCTATGTAACATGTAAATTACGAATTTTTTATAGTGAGCCATTTTTTTGGATACACCTGGGAAAAAGCGATTAACATTACGAAGATGACAGTGTTTGAAACTCACTCAGCTCAACTTTAGAAGGCGAGAATTTCGAAGTAAGCATTCTCTTCCATGAAAGCAAGACTTTATAAAAAATTATCATGTATTGAATTCTGAAATATATGTTTTCAATCTGTTATAGCTAAGTTGACTAATTTCTCAACATTTCCCCTTATGAATTTAAGTACAGGTGAATTATACAAACACCAGTTCCATTCATCAAAATAATTCAGCTTCATTCTTGATGAATTCATATGAGGACAGTTATATTGCAGAATCGACTATTTAACAAACTGCTCCAAATGGAATATGAAAGTAATCACATGACAAATATTTATGAGTAGGACAGCATTTTCGTCTTTAGCAAAAATGCCAAGAAAAGTGATCATTCCAGTAAGAAAAGCGATCGCAGTCAACACAAAACCAAAGATTCAATAATTCAACAAGAATTGAAGAAATGCGTATTTCGAGTTCGAAATCTTCATCATTTACACCGTAGAAAACAAAATTATGTTGAAGACAGAGGCACGAGTCAGAAATTTCACGTTCACGAATGTCCGTTCGTGCAGAATCGACTTCACTTTCACAACTCCGGTCTCCACTATCCTCAACAGTCGTTTTCAGTACTCATCGAGATGGTTGCTGGCAATGAATGGATAACTTCTGTGTGCAACTTATGGTTTGGCATGTCGCCGAAACGTGTTCTCACTTCACTCGCATGTCAATAGTGCTATTTTGCCAGAGACGAGTGAATTCATTCATGTGATCACCAGAGTAATTAGAAATTCACATGCTGTTGATGAGTTGTTCACTTACGTCGTCCTAAAACGAGAAACATAGAAATAAATGTGGATTTCGTTACACTAAACGTAATATTGTAATGACAGAAGGCAAGAGTCAGGCAACAGATCGTTTATTAAAGAAAATGAACACATATTTCTAGATTTCAATGTAAATTATTGTAGATTATTGTTAGTAGAAAACACAGTCTTCTGATTGGTTGTTTCTCACAGAAAGTTAACCTTGTTTCTCTTTGTGGCTGTTTCCAGAATGTCAGATCACCTCTATGTTAACTGTATCAGCCTACGCAAAACTTTGTTCTCATTTTTCTCACGACTGATATCAGGGACATAAACATTGACGTAAATTACTGTCCACCAATTTTGACTAACAGCCAGCTCTTATCACAGTATAATAAGTGACCCATTGTGGAATTATGATAATTGCAGACGACTGTGCATCACATCCAGTGTGCTTTTCAATCATCGATGCCATTGTGATATAATCGGCCCTCTCATGTAACGGAAGTGCACTATAAATACCAATAAACTAGTTATCAATAACCTGACAAGCACGTGTGTGCTTGTTATTCTAAGACGTATTGATTGTTTCATTTGCAATGAAACAACGTTTGCAATTACTTCGTGCTAATATCAGAGAAAAACCAAGTGGTATGTATGCAATATATAAGGAAGAATCGATTAGTACTTGTTAATCACCGAAATTGTGTACATTCCAGTTTCACGTCAAATACTTCGAAACTTCATCTACAGCAGTTTACACCGCAGTTATTCACACCTATGGGGGTACCTACAAAAATCCAAAATCAGTCTAAACATAACTTACATTGGCGTGAAACAACTGCAGTCACTTTAATCCATTCTTCGATTCACCGATTATCTCAAGCGAGTGTATAGAATGATGAAGGAGTTCAAGATTGCTTTGGTATGATTTCGGGTGCATTAGTCAAAGATAAATTCAACACTATTTGTGGAAGCTTTGGTTGGCATGACAGTGAGAGGATGAAATGATCACATTACCTTCTATAATATATAGAATTATCATTATATTTTGAGATTCATCAGACTCCATATCATTATACCCTTTACTTTTTCACGCTCTTTAGACGTCCAATAATCTCCGTGAGCTGTTCAGCAGATTCCCACACTGATTTCAGAATAATGAAGGCATGTCTTTTTCACCCGACCCAGAATCTCACATCCTAAGCTGAGTTACTTATGGTTGTAACAATTCTGTTTAGACATGAGAACGAAGTTACGAAGTTCAATTTCTCCCATTGATGGCGACTGGTGTTTATTTTCACCAGTCAGGTATCTTCATCACCGCTACCTCCTCTATGTTCATTTGAAGCTATCTCTCCTCTGCTTCTTCTTCCGACTCGCTGAGTTCAGCTTGAGAAGTTTTACATTTTTGTGACATTAAAGATAAATGGTCTGCGATGTCCGAATCTTATCCAATCCTCTTGTCAGATTCATGTATTCCTGTTTCCTCCCCTTGTTACCGCTGTCTTGAGCATGATCCTGTCAACTCCAATCAAGAATGTCATCGTTACACTGGAAAGTCTTGTCTTATTCCCGTCTTCATTTTCAAAGCACCACTGAGTTCGATGTTTTTAATCAGGCATCATGTGGCATCGTGATACAAATGTTGAGTGAGGTTGATAAGGGTGCAGTCCACTCCGCAGTTGTGAAGCTGACTTTCAGGATCTTGATGGCATTTGCAAATTCCACCTTAGTTAGAAAGTCATCGTTTTTCTGGCATGTATTTCCGCATACGCTACAGTTACTTTTCTGTTGCAGTGCCTTTCAAACTGATCAGCCCAGCCTTTTCTTACCTATACTCTCTTGCTATAAGGTTCGCTTCGCCATGTGTTATTGGTTCAAGCTCTGTTGATCTGTTCCTCCGATCACGTAATTGCTTATTATCTGAAGTAATTTTTTAAGATCTCTCTTACCAACAGCGTCTTCTGCTTCTGGGGTCATAGAATTATCATTGGTGAAGCACAATACCTCTCTTTATCTTTTATTCACTGAGATGATCATTGAACTCTCTTTCGTCTATCTTTGCATTGGTTCATCTTCTATTTCACCATCCTCCCTCTATTATAAACCTCCAGGTGTCTGTAGAAAGACATAAGTTATCTTGCGTCTTCTTTTTCTTAAAACAGCTGTACACGTTTCTATCAGCATCATTTACGGAGAGTCTTCGTGTTCTTCAGCACGGGTTCCCTCAGTGATTTTATCTATCTCCAACTTCTTTCTGATGACTCCACTGTAGGTCTGTTATTCAGTTTCTGAATGCTGGGTTACAATTTTGGTTTAGTTCCCGTCCTTTTGAAGCCATTCTATCTGATTCCTTGTGGTGCTTGCAATAGATTATGGTTCAAGCTCATATCTACACCTATTATTGATTTTGTATCTTGCAGGTTACGTCGTCATTTTGTTCAGACGGAGATACGATCTGCCCGATTTTCGGTGTCCATCTTTTGAAACATCTCATTTTGTTTCTTTTTTGAGTTTGTTCTCCTTGCCTTCTGTCACCAAGTCATTGAATGAACAGGAGTTTGATAAAAGTTCTCCATCCTGCATTTCGCCAAGAGTCGTTTGATCCATGATGGATTCTATTTTTTTATTGTCTGCTCTGGTCTTTGCATGCTAACAATCATTAGGATTTTGATGTTGCCACTTAGAATCTATGTAGTCGTCAATAAAATTTTCAATTTTTTTCTCATCCCAAGTTGTTTGTAGGCGTGTTGTACTTTATAAGTGCAAATTTTTCTGCCTCTTGTATTGAATCTTGCTGTCATTATCCTTAAGTACATCGGTTCTCACTAAATGTTAGCCTTTTGGGTCTTCTTGGTGACTTCATGATAACCACCTCCACTGTGTTTTTGTGGTCCTCACTTGGGTAACCGGAATAGAATACTGACCCTCCAGTTAGCGTTTTAGAGATTTCATATACATTCCATCGGCTCCCATACATTCCTGATACTGCTACAATTTATATCCTCATTTTTGAATGGCTTTGTCAGTCTCATGTCTACGACAAACAATCTGTCTAGCAATGCTTATAACTGAGTTAATCAAAAAAGCCGCATTGATCGACTTTCCTACTAAAGACGTTCGTCATCCAACGTTATTTTGGCGGATAATAAGTTCATTTTCCTGTACTATGAAGTTTCACTATCGACTGATTAAATTTTCTCGGGTGGTGTGGCTAGATAACTAGGCGCGATCGAATAAACTTGATTTGATCAAAAATAACTACAAGCTTATGACATTTAGGTGGTGAGTCAGCGACTGCAATGTAGCAAATGAATTGAAATCTTTGTTCTCATATCCTGACGCTGCTGTTGCTACTTTATCGTTGTCATAACCAGCAAAACAGATATAAAATTTTGATATGAATAATATCTCATTTATTTCAACTAACCCATCAATTCTAAAATTGAAACAATACGGAAATATGTTATTTATACTTGCGATGTTTTATAAGAAGTTCGAACATACTTTTCAAAGTGAAAGGCGTTTTCAAGAATACACCATTCATTTAGGTTCAGTACTGTTCATTTATGAATTTGAACTCTCCTTTTGGATCACTTTAATAGGATATTGACTTATGACATGAGTTGAAAAGTGGATGTGTGATTATGTTTCCTGATTAATACGATTTTATCACTCACCTTTACAAACTAGAATGAAGTGAACATCAAGACACAATTGTGTATTTGAGGTTATTAGTATGATTATCAGTAAATATTATTAACATCATTGTTGTAACGAAGGTAAAACTGGACCCACGCTCGTTTCAACTGTTTCATTAATAATAAACAAATTATGACTGATTTTCTCGCTATTATTTTCATACGGAAAAAATTCCAGTAGACTCACTGAGAATACGAGTCTCTTCATGCTAAAGAAAACTAGCCGAGTATCACCGACACTTAAACATAATTTTAAGACCCAAATTAGGACAAAATATATGTTCAGTACTCCTAGATTCTGGTTATATAAATGATGTCATCTCGTGAGTGGCACTTGATGATGTATATATATATATATATACTAAGAATGATTAACATGTATCAATAATAATCCACTAATCTGATCCCCAACCTACTTTCAGTCAAATGTCTATCGAATGTGTATTAAGGTCAGTCAGTCCTAAAACATCTCTTCTTCTTTAAACAACCACTCTCAGATTCCGACATCAACTAGCTGAAAATCTCGAAATTCTGTACATTTATTTCAAAAGATCAATAACCCAACACCATCACATGGATTGTCAAATATTTTATTTGGTGTTTCATATCCAGGTTCACTGGTCGGGAAGGAATTAAACTTCATAATGACACTCAAATAGTTTACATGCATTCCAAATAACCTTTCTGTGGTTAATTTGTATTTTTAGTGATAATAACAACTTTCCAACAAAATTCTGATTTAGTTCACTGCATGCGTGTTTAATTCTTTTTTTGTATCACAGAGAGTGCAGTCATTATTAGATTTATCACTTCAAATATTATGTCCATCGTTACTTCCATGGAAGCATGGCACTTGATCGACATTCATCTGTAGGTTTTAATTTTTTCGAAATAAAACTATCAAACTTCTGCTGACATCGACAGAGAGGTCTATTCATTTTCACTGAATTAGTATTTCATCAATGGATAGTTAGAGATTTTGTCTTCCATCAAGCTTAAAAAATGGCCAACGCGACACAAGTTTGTTTCATACCGGGTTGTGCCATTGATCAGACTAACAATGAATCGCAGTCAGCTGGCATTATATCAAACAAACAAAACAAAATGAAGTTCAACTTTGGAAATGTTTCATTTCATCACTTATGTCATTTGTCATCACAAATATTCGCGCATACAGTTTCATCGTGTATTTCTCATAAAATTCTCATAAGATAAAAAAGGATGCAGAGAGTATTATGGATCAATGAGAAAAAAATCCAATATGCTGGAATGAGTAAAAGTGCCACTAAAAATATAAACCAAATTCAATGAAACATGTTCATCGGCATTATTCACTATTTTAGTAGGTTGAATCGATGTCGTTGACGTCTGTGAGGATTACTTGCGATTCTCACGACTCTATTACATTGTAAACTGTAACGTCAATTAATATATGAAAAAGCCTATTAGCCTATTCCGACTAAATAAAAGCATGCATTGACTATTGGTTTCATGACTACATTTACTGATTTAAAAATGTTATTAAATTTAAAACCAAAATATCATGCATGGATTTGCAATTGATTTATTGAAAATAAGATGCATCAGAAAATAATGGAAGAGCTGGAGAGCAAGAAATTAAACGCAGATAACAACAACCATTAGATTAGGAATGAAGTCGATAAGCAGGAAGTGTACTTACACCGACCTTCAAATGACCGGAAAGAGAAATAAGAATTATATATATATATATAGAATACAAAAAGCGCATGAAATTCAGTTACATGGTGCATTAAAACAAGCAGAAATATCACTGTGGCAAAAAAGTACATATAGATACAACAACATTTGATGAAGTATACAAGAAAAAGGTGATCAAAGTTATCAAGAAACATATTAGGAGCGAATTCACAGGCTCATATTGACAAATTTATGTAGATCGAGGTACTTCAGTCATAATTCAGGGTAATAAATATCTAAGCATAGTTTTACAGTATATGATATGATAATTTTGCTTTATTCTAAAAACAGTACTAATGATACAGAAAGGAATTTTCAGCATTCAGTACAATATTGCATCTAATTCACTCAAAAACGACAAAAGGTATAATAAAAGTAAACATTATGTAATAATAATAATAAAACGTTGTTATAGCAACTACATAGCTAATTACTGTATGCAATACGGAGAAAAATATGCATAAAGTACAAAACTGTGGTAATAGGAGTAATAACAACTAAAATAAAATAGCAAAGTTGATAAACGATAGAAAGTGTAACACCATATAATACAGGAAGATGAAAAATGAAAGGGTCGATTCCCTGTGCTAATTACATAGTAACGTGTTTCACGTCTAACAGGGTCATCGTCACACAAAGTACGGGCTAAATAGGGTATTGTACAATTTCTGTACTTAGTGATACGAGCATATAACTTTTTATATTGACTTTTCTTCCTACCTGATGAGATACAAGGAGATAGTTGTGAATAAAGGGGGTGCAGAGGGTCTGACAGTACAGCCTTTGTCCATTTTGTACCGGAAGTTATGTCTCTTGTCTATAGTATTGGCGAACTCACGCAGTGGTAGACCACAAGCCCTACTCACAGCATTTAATACTCTTCGGTAATATGATGTAGTTTTTTGAGAAACCCAAGAAAGATTACCGTAGAGCAATACAGTACAATAGGTAAAATACAGGAGTTTAAAAATTGCAAAACTAAAGGTTGGTTGATACCCGATTGTCTTAACTTTTTAATGTAGAAGGTAAGACGAAACATTTTCTTAGAGATAGATAAGATATGGGATGACCATGAAAGGTCAGAGGAAAGAACTAATCCAAGGTATTTAATGCTTGATTTGGTTTCAATTTCAGTACCATCTATGCTACAGGCATCATAGGAACTAACTAGTTATTTATTTTATTTTATTTTTGATTACAGCTTGATTCCGCGGCGTGTTTTCGGTACAAGTATGGAATTTTCAGCATGGATATCAGTGGCCTGAATTTTGGTCAGCGAGAGTCCTAACCAATGTGCCACCGGCGCACAGTTCATGCATGTCACGTGGATGTTTGAAATTAAAGTTAACTGCCTGACATTTGGAAGGATTTCACATAAGACCATTTGAATTAGACCACTTGCTGATATCCAACAGAAAGCTATTAAGTTTCAAGCTGTCAGACTCGGAAGTGATAGGCAGTAATACAGTCAGATCATCTGCATATTTGACAAAGTTAGTTTCGTTTAAATGAGGCGGGTCGTGTAGGAAGAAAGAAAAAAGAAAAGGAGAGAGAACGACAGCTTCAGGATCACCGGCTTTTGTAAGCGAGGTAGAATAGGATTTGCCATTATATACAATATACTGCATTCTATCAGAAAATTAAGAATGGAACCAACTCTTATCCCAGGATCCTGTTTGCGTCAACGAAAGATTATTTAATAAAAGGCCCTTAGGTACAGAGTCGAAAGCAGATGTTTAGTCTAGGAAAGAACTACGAACATATTTGACACCTTTGTCTTAACATGAAACAACATTGCGATATAAGACATAGGTATAAATGAAGGTTCAAAACAAAGTAAAAGTAATTATTCCGTAAATTGAAAGAAGTAGAGGTAATTGCAAAATAACAAAAAAACAGACCCCAGGATGAATCTGAAAGAAAGAGAAAGTAAAAGTAGAAAAAGAGAAAAAAGAGAGAGTTAATCCGCGAAAGAAGAGTAAAAAAAGTACGACAAATCATAAGTAAATAACAAATTAGAATTTCAAACAATACCTTCACAAAATTTCGATCAAAAAATCAAAAACAATATCATCGAGAGAAACACATAGAGACATAAACGACACCGAATAATGAAAACACGTCAAATAATACAGAGTAGGGAATTCAGTAGGTTTAAATATCCCACTTGGCTGAGTTATTTTAAAGTGATATCAAGAGACACACGAGAATCACTTGAAATGCCCCAAATGTGTGAATTCCTGGTCATCACTTGCCACATGAGATAGGACTTCTCTTTTCCGAGAGTGCGTTCGCTCTACAGCTCCCTCACAGAAGATGTGACAGCTCCACGGATAGAAATCTTACACATGTGACAACCAACATCATCACATCTGACACTGCGAACAACACCAGTTGAAGGCAGAGGCACGAGTCAGAAATCTCATGATCATGATTGTCTGTTCGTGCAGAATCGACTTCACTTTCACAACTCTGGTCTCCACTATCCTCAACAGTCGTTTTCAGTACTCATCGAGATGGTTGCTTGCAACGAATGGATTACTTTCGTGTGCGATTAATGGTTTGGCATGTCGCTGAAACGTGTTCTCACTTCACTCGCACGTTATTTATGCTATTATGCTGGAGACAAATCCATTCATTCATGTGTTAAACGCTTCGCTTTCTATTTACGTTTGCGGGTATTGACGTCAGTTCGTTCCTGAGATTTCTTTCACTGGTATACATGGTATTTTTTTGTGTTGATGAGATATATTGTGTGTATCTACTCATTTCACGTGCTTGTTCATTTCATACAACGGGCTTCTGATTATATATTTTTCGCATCCAAATTCTTTCCTTTATATATCGGCCTGTCTACGCCATTTTAAAGTGTTTTAATGAAATCATTAGCAGAGAGCATAGTGTCTATAATCACGCACTTTCTCGTTTAGACTTCTAATTAGTTCCGCCTAGTCTTTGAAGGAAACGGAGGAAGACGATTGTGAGATAACTGTGAGAAAACATCTGTAGGAATAATAATAATTTTGGTGGATAAACAAATTCTTGAAATATTACATGAAAAATTATCAACTCGAGGTAAAACTGCGAATAAAACACGCAAGATAATATTATAAAGTCAACAAACGAACATTGAAAATTAAGAAATTCCTGTTCTGATTCTCCCTCTAACCCACACAAAGGAAAACGACAAAAAGCCACTCTAATTGATGTGGTATCGCAGATTGATTCGAAGACACTATAATCATACAGTGAAGATACATATTTGTAGAGATTTCATGGGCTCATACAGGCTAACCCGTGTAGATGGAGATCCATCAGTTCACATCAGAGTATTTTTCGATTCAACTAAGATTTATGCCTGTTAATGAAGGACTAATAACTCAATAATTTCATAATTTCTGCATATTTAAATGAAAATAACTCATTTACACTTGAAATTATAAGGTTAATATTATTATCAAAATTCGGCTGTTTCACTAACTCTTGAATAATCTATCTGCATTATTGGAAAAAATGATGCTCTCTGTCGTTTGATAATGTTTATTTTTCACTAAATTTTCTTACCCCAAGTTTTTCCTACATCAGATAAATATTTTTGTGAGAATCAATTATCAAAATTTAAATGGAAATAAAATATGATTACGCCTGAGTATAAGACAATATATTCATCGGCTGATAATCGCAGAGCACATTCTAAGTCACCTCATTGATTAGAATTTATCATTCATATTCAAAAGAAAACACCCCGGTTATTCAACTAAGTGAATCGTTATGGAGTAGGGAATCGAGTATGTTTATATATCCCACTTGGCTGAGTTATTTTAAAGTGATATCAAGAGACACACGAGAATCACTTGAAATGTCCCAAATGTGTGAATTCCTGGTCATCACTTGCCACATGAGATAGGACTTCTCTTTTCCGAGAGTGCGTTCGCTCTACAGCTCCCTCACAGAAGATGTGACAGCTCCACGGATAGAAATCTTACACATGTGACAACCAACATCATCACATCTGACACTGCGAACAACACCAGTTGAAGGCAGAGGCACGAGTCAGAAATCTCATGATCATGATTGTCTGTTCGTGCAGAATCGACTTCACTCTCACAACTCTGGTCTCCACTATCCTCAACAGTCGTTTTCAGTACTCATCGAGATGGTTGCTTGCAACGAATGGATTACTTTCGTGTGCGATTAATGGTTTGGCATGTCGCTGAAACGTGTTCTCACTTCACTCGCACGTTATTTATGCTATTATGCCTGAGACAAGTAGATGCATTGCTGTGTTTAATGGATTTATGTGGAATGACATATATTTTGCTTATTTTTATTCTTATTTTCATGTCCAACGTGTTGTATGGATTATCATGTCATCATATTCTCTATTCAAATGGTGTTTGATTTCTTTTTGATATGGTTTTGTTCTCTGAGCTGGATGGTTAATTGGCGAAGCTTTCATCACCCTACTGGGTGACATCTTCAGCGCATACTTCAATTTGGAGTGAGCCTTTAGATTTCTCTGCGAGTTTATTAATCATCTCTCCTGGTGACCTTGGACGTGATTGATTGTTTATGTGTTTTCACATCTTCTAGGTTACATGTATTGGAAGTGACTGTTTCTTTGACTTGAACTTTGACGCTTTGTGTGTGAAGTTTCTTTCTTATTGGTTGATAAATTTTGTCTATCTCTATGTGTCTAATGATTGATGATTCACTGGAATTCCAAGGGTCAAAGTTCAAGTCAAAGAAACAGTCACTTCCAATACATGTAACCTAGAAGATGTGAAAACACATAAACAATCAATCACGTCCAAGGTCACCAGGAGAGATGATTAATAAACTCGCAGAGAAATCTAAAGGCTCACTCCAAATTGAAGTATGCGCTGAAGATGTCACCCAGTAGGGTGATGAAAGCTTCGCCAATTAACCATCCAGCTCAGAGAACAAAACCATATCAAAATCATCCACCTGAGCTACAAATCTTCTCTATCATATCTAAGTGTTTGATTTCTGCACAACTCACGTTAAGAAACCACAAATATCACTATCAAAGCTACATGTATTTTTGAAGTATCGCAGCTACATATGAAGGCTTTAAAATCATACTGTGTAGGTACATATATGGAGAGAATTGTTGGGCCAAAACAGAGAAACTCTTGTAAACGGGGATTTTTCAGTTCCATATCAAATTAATTATAGGTTGGCTGTTATTTAACGTTTGTTCAGAAAAGCATTTATTCCGCATTGTTTGCCCATATTTTCGCGGACAATATGAAAATTCTTTCTGGGTTGTTAATTTATCCGTCATGTTTATCTTTCGCGGCAATTTAGAATTTTCATGTGTGGTGAACAAATATTGATCCAAAAAATGAGAATAATTTTGTCACTGAAAATGTATCAGGAATAATGAATTTAATTCTAGAAACTTACCCCTATATCCGGCTTTCATGCATCATTATAGAAGGTATTTTGAATAATTTCAAAAGAATAGCAGAAAAAACTGTTCATAAATACAACAAACACAGTGTAATGATTCGCGAAATGTCTGAAGAAAACACCGACAAAGAATAGGTTCAAGTCTTCACAAGATATAGAGTAGATATACGTCCGCCACGATTAGAATATACCATATATTGATTATCAACGACAAAAAGGGTCAACCAAGCCTTGTTTCGTAAAAATAGACACAAAATTCGAAATAAGGTAACAGCAAAGTTATTTCGTCTCAGAAAAACTAATTCTAATATATTTGATGTGGTATCGCTGATTGGTGTGAAGAAACTCTATTCATGAGGTCAAGATTCATATATGGAGTGATTTCACAAACTCACAGAGGCAAACTCGTGTACATGGTGATCTTTCAGTTCCACTTCAGAGTAATTATCAGTTCAACCAGGATTTTCTGTCAGCTTGGAAATGCATTTATTTTGAATTCTCCGGTCGATCATATTCTGTTCTTGTTCCGAGATTTTTGATAGCCGATTTCTCTTATCTAGCCATGCTTCAATCTGACTATACTCTACATAATTTCCCTTCTGTTTCGGTTCTCCTCAGTAGTTCGCGCCTCGAGGGTTTTGAATGCAGGGTGTTGAGATTTCATTGCGTTGTTCAAATACTATTCATCCTGTGTGGCCCTATCCTCGTTCACATGAATTTCATTTAACGGAAATTCACGATAATACACTTCCAATGTCCGATATCTTCGGTGTGTACTGCTCCTCAAATGGAACCTGCTGGAGCCCACTGTTTACTACTTCCAATTTCAAACAGGGTAATCACCTATCTGTTTGAAGCCAGGCGCTACTGCGCACCAGAATAATAGTGACAAGTTGTTTTTAAGGGATGTGTTTTCTTGCAGAATTCCACCATGAGCTGACGTCGTTTAGTTGACGACCGGATTCTAGTAGGAAGTGGTGGTAAGTGGGGTACATGAGGTCGGCTGTGTTGACGAATACTCACCTAAGATAATAGCTGGACGCTGCACTATCCCATGAATAGACGTAAATTGGAATTCGTGGGTCATTGGATAGGGTCACATGGGTTCAATTGTGCAAGAGCTTGGCTCGTGAACACAATCTGCTCGGTTTGATCTTCAGTGGGGTCTTTTCTAAAGAGACTCAAACCAGCACAAAACACCCACAGAGTACTACAGTGCTGTATAATGATTCTCTGACCGATAATGGCAGATAAAGAAACCCTGTGACCAATGAAATCACGGGAAACCAATCATTGCAAAATATGTTAATTTAAAAGTCCAGAAGAACAACCTCCCCAGTCAACATAAACGAAAAAATGAAAAAACTGAAATTTTGTAATATATTCTCATGAAAATGAAATTTTAAAATATTAGTAGAGGGAAATCTCTGATCCTACCTTCTTCTGCAGCTATTCCGTTAAAATATATACGAAAAAACAGAATAAAAAAAAAGAGAAATGTGAAGTAATTCGAAGTTAATGAAATAAATATATGTGCATTAAAATGTCGCTAATCACGTATAATTGAGCAAGGAATCGAATATGTTTATATATCCCACTTGGCTGAGTTATTTTAAAGTGATATCAAGAGACACACGAGAATCACTTGAAATGCCCCAAATGTGTGAATTCCTGGTCATCACTTGCCACATGAGATAGGACTTCTCTTTTCCGAGAGTGCGTTCGCTCTACAGCTCCCTCACAGAAGATGTGACAGCTCCACGGATAGAAATCTTACACATGTGACAACCAACATCATCACATCTGACACTGCGAACAACACCAGTTGAAGGCAGAGGCACGAGTCAGAAATCTCATGATCATGATTGTCTGTTCGTGCAGAATCGACTTCACTTCACAACTCTGGTCTCCACTATCCTCAACAGTCGTTTTCAGTACTCATCGAGATGGTTGCTTGCAACGAATGGATTACTTTCGTGTGCGATTAATGGTTTGGCATGTCGCTGAAACGTGTTCTCACTTCACTCGCACGTTATTTATGCTATTATGCCTGAGACAAGTAGATGCATTGCTGTGTTTAATGGATTTATGTGGAATGACATATATTTTGTTTTACATTTGACTTACCTTGAGCTTTATCGTAAAATAATTTATTGATTCATCTATTTCATTTAAATGTCGTTTTATTTTTAAATTATCATGTGTGCAGAACACAAATTTACTGAATCATACATGTTTTGATTGACTGTCGCGGATGTGTATGGAGGAGTTTTATTCATACAACGAAAATAATATCCGATGGACTTCATGAGATCGTACTGCCAAACTGGTTTAGATGGATATCACTGTCTGATAATCCAGAATAATTGCTTGTTAAGGAAAATGTTGATGTGTGTCGTGATATGGATTTCGTCGAAAAAAGGTGTTAATTTATATGCTTTTATGTGGAATTCATAAAACTTGTAAATTTTTTTCGAAATTATAGAGATGTAAATCCGGATTAAAAAAATAATTTGAAAATTGATAGACAATAAATAATTTATAATAATATAACTCACCCCAGAAGTCACCTGCAATAAATAAATATTTGAGTAAAAATCATAGCATACAAATTATAAAAAAAACTAACGACACAAACATAAAAATCGACATGGTATAATGCTGAGATACGTAAGCAGCCTACGAAATCAGGTTATTAAAATATATATTGCATCCTACTGAAAAAAACAAAAGATAATTTCACACCAGATTAATCAACTAAGTGAATCGTTATGGAGTAGGGAATCGAGTATGTTTATATATCCCACTTGGCTGAGTTATTTTAAAGTGATATCAAGTGACACACGAGAATCACTTGAAATGCCCCAAATGTGTGAATTCCTGGTCATCACTTGCCACATGAGATAGGACTTCTCTTTTCCGAGAGTGCGTTCGCTCTACAGCTCCCTCACAGAAGATGTGACAGCTCCACGGATAGAAATCTTACACATGTGACAACCAACATCATCACATCTGACACTGCGAACAACACCAGTTGAAGGCAGAGGCACGAGTCAGAAATCTCATGATCATGATTGTCTGTTCGTGCAGAATCGACTTCACTCTCACAACTCTGGTCTCCACTATCCTCAACAGTCGTTTTCAGTACTCATCGAGATGGTTGCTTGCAACGAATGGATTACTTTCGTGTGCGATTAATGGTTTGGCATGTCGCTGAAACGTGTTCTCACTTCACTCGCACGTTATTTATGCTATTATGCTGGAGACAAATCCATTCATTCATGTGTTAAACGCTTCGCTTTCTATTTACGTTTGCGGGTATTGACGTCAGTTCGTTCCTGAGATTTCTTTCACTGGTATACATGGTATTTTTTTGTGTTGATGAGATATATTGTGTGTATCTACTCATTTCACGTGCTTGTTCATTTCATACAACGGGCTTCTGATTATATATTTTTCGCATCCAAATTCTTTCCTTTATATATCGGCCTGTCTACGCCATTTTAAAGTGTTTTAATGAAATCATTAGCAGAGAGCATAGTGTCTATAATCACGCACTTTCTCGTTTAGACTTCTAATTAGTTCCGCCTAGTCTTTGAAGGAAACGGAGGAAGACGATTGTGAGATAACTGTGAGAAAACATCTGTAGGAATAATAATAATTTTGGTGGATAAACAAATTCTTGAAATATTACATGAAAAATTATCAACTCGAGGTAAAACTGCGAATAAAACACGCAAGATAATATTATAAAGTCAACAAACGAACATTGAAAATTAAGAAATTCCTGTTCTGATTCTCCCTCTAACCCACACAAAGGAAAACGACAAAAAGCCACTCTAATTGATGTGGTATCGCAGATTGATTCGAAGACACTATAATCATACAGTGAAGATACATATTTGTAGAGATTTCATGGGCTCATACAGGCTAACCCGTGTAGATGGAGATCCATCAGTTTCACATCAGAGTATTTTTCGATTCAACTAAGATTTATGCCTGTTAATGAAGGACTAATAACTCAATAATTTCATAATTTCTGCATATTTAAATGAAAATAACTCATTTACACTTGAAATTATAAGGTTAATATTATTATCAAAATTCGGCTGTTTCACTAACTCTTGAATAATCTATCTGCATTATGGGAAAAAATGATGCTCTCTGTCGTTTGATAATGTTTATTTTTCACTAAATTTTCTTACCCCAAGTTTTTCCTACATCAGATAAATATTTTTGTGAGAATCAATTATCAAAATTTAAATGGAAATAAAATATGAATACGCCTGAGTATAAGGCAATATATTCATCGGCTGATAATCGCAGAGCACATTCTAAGTCACCTCATTGATTAGAATTTATCATTCATATTCAAAAGAAAACACCCCGGTTATTCAACTAAGTGAATCGTTATGGAGTAGGGAATCGAGTATGTTTATATATCCCACTTGGCTGAGTTATTTTAAAGTGATATCAAGAGACACACGAGAATCACTTGAAATGTCCCAAATGTGTGAATTCCTGGTCATCACTTGCCACATGAGATAGGACTTCTCTTTTCCGAGAGTGCGTTCGCTCTACAGCTCCCTCACAGAAGATGTGACAGCTCCACGGATAGAAATCTTACACATGTGACAACCAACATCATCACATCTGACACTGCGAACAACACCAGTTGAAGGCAGAGGCACGAGTCAGAAATCTCATGATCATGATTGTCTGTTCGTGCAGAATCGACTTCACTTTCACAACTCTGGTCTCCACTATCCTCAACAGTCGTTTTCAGTACTCATCGAGATGGTTGCTTGCAACGAATGGATTACTTTCGTGTGCGATTAATGGTTTGGCATGTCGCTGAAACGTGTTCTCACTTCACTCGCACGTTATTTATGCTATTATGCCTGAGACAAGTAGATGCATTGCTGTGTTTAATGGATTTATGTGGAATGACATATATTTTGCTTATTTTTATTCTTATTTTCATGTCCAACATGTTGTATGGATTATCATGTC